AAGAGGATGGCAGGCAGATACCCCTCTATGTCTCCCTGTGTTTGTTACTTAACACCGAAAAGGAGGTGGAAGTGCCTAGCTGCTCTGACTTCTAGTTTTCACGTTCCAGTATCAATGTCTGAGTCTGGCCTTTTTAATAAATATGCACATCAAAATAATGTAATTTCCCTTTTTCCTCATCCAGCTGTCCTGCCTCAGCCATCACTCATGGCTAACTGCTGCCTAACAGCAGGAGTGACAAATGGAGCTGCTGTTATAGAACATGGTGTGGCAATTCCTCAAAAGTTAAACAGGAGATTACCACAGGAGCCAGCAGTTGTACTTTTAGGTATCCACACAAATGAGCTGAAGTAAGGACTTGAGTAGACATGTTCACAGCAGCACCGTTAACAACAGCCAAAAGGTGAAGATCTGGTATGCCTTTGAAGATGACACTGGGGTCCTCGCTCTCTGATTCCTGGCCACCGTGATATGAGCTACTCTGCTCTGCCATGCCCTTTCCACCATGATGGACTGACAACTCTGAAACTGTGAGCCAAAATAAATAATTCTTCCATTCAAGTTGTTCTCAGGTATTTTGTCACAATGATGCAAATCACACAGAATAAAAGTAACACAGAGAAGTTGGGTTGTTGCTGTGATTAAACCAGACCATGTGGTTCTTAAGCCTTTGGAACTGGGTAGGGATTTGGAACAGTTTGGCGAAGCAGACTAGAGAAAGGCTAGAATGTGGTAAGTAGAGGTTAATGGCCAATTCTGAGGGGAGCCCAGAAGACCAGAATGTCCAGGAATGTGGATGGTGAAGCCAGACTCATGAGGTTTCAGGTGGTAATGAAGACTTGGGAATTAGACAAGAGGTTATTTGTGTCAAATTCTGGCAGAGTTTGCCTATGTTTTGTCAGTATTCTGGAACTTTGAGTGGGCTGAATTTAGAAGTAATGGACTGCTGGGCACAGGTGGCTTGCACCTGGAATCCTAGCTACGCAGGACGCAGAGATCAGAAGGATCATGGCTCAAGGCCAACCTGGGCAATAAGTAAAACCCTATCTCAAAAATACCCACACACACACACACACACACACACACAGCAAAGGCTGATGGAGTGGCTCAAGTGATAGAGCATCTGCCTAACAAGTGTGAGGCTGTGAGTTCAAATACTAGTACCTCAAAAAGAAAAAAGGTAACGGACTAATTAACTTGGTAGAGGAAGTTTCAAGACTGCATAGCATTCAGGCTGTGGCACAGATATTGCTGGCTGCTTTCAGGCAGATTTACAGTGGGAGAAAAGCAAAACACAAGGATTTGGAAAATCATGTAGTCTATTCAAAAATGGATGGATTTGGACAAGGAGGGTGTGGTAGGTTAAGATATCAGCATCACTGAAAAGAAGCCAAGAATTTTGTATTGAAACAGTAGGAAAGGCACCTTGAGGGCACCTCAGAAATTGGCCAGACCCCACCCATCACAGACTCCAGGATGTAAAAGTATAAACTCATTTGAAAGATTTTCCCTTAAAAGAGAGCCACCAGAGTGCCCTACTAAAAAAAGGGCCTGTGAGCCTTGCTTGTACAGGGGCTCAGCCACTCAGCCACTCAAAGACCACTGCAGCCATGGTTCAAAGGGGTTGATTTTGCTGTAGCTGATGGAATGGCATCATCCACATGATGCTTTTTTTGTAGATATACAGAATGCAAGAGTTACAGGTAATGAGGGCTTCCACCCAGATGTCAAAAGGAGGCCTGAGAGGCTAGGCAATGTGTACAGCTGCAAGAGGGAAGGCAAAGCTACAGTAAGGAGCTTGGATGTTGGAGATGCCAAGAATATGGAATGTCTACTGAGGAAAGCCACAGGCACTGAATGGAACCACCCCAAAAGAGAGGCCATGTAGGCTGCAAATGGCAAGGTCATAGGGACAGACCTCACATCATGCCACCATGCTAGATGTGGAGCTACAGAACTTAATGTTTGCTTTACTGGGTTTCTGCTTTGGTCAGAACCTTCTTGACTATTTTTCCATTTCTCCTTTCGGAATGGGGAAGTTTAGTCTGTGTCATCGTATGTTGGAAGTATGTGAGCTATTTTACAGGGGCTCACCGCTAACAGATTTCCGTGAGTCTCAGAAGAGACTTAGCATTTGGACTGTTGAATAATGTTGGAATTTTGAGGCTGTGTGGACTCATAGAGATGAATAAATGTATTCTGCTTTATGAGATGGCCGTCAGCCTTTGGGGAACAGGGATACAATGTTGTGGATTGACTATGAGATTCCCCCAGGGGCTTCTGTTTTGAATGTTTGACCCCTCAATGGTGGCACTATTTTGGGAGGTTGTGGAAACTTTTGGAGGTGGGTGTTATTGGAAGAAGTGGGTCACCTTGGAGGCATGTCTTTGAAGACTGCATCATGTGCCCCGGTCCGTTCTTCTCTCTGCTTCCTTTACTCAGTGATGTGAACTTCTCTGCTCCACCAGCCCTCCCTGCCATGATAGACTGATACCTTCTATACTGTGACCTGAAATAAACAATTGCTCCCTTTAAGAGAAAAAAAGGTGAGAATCATCCAAATGTTCATCAACAAAGCATGGTATATCCATACAAAGGAAAATGATGCCTTGGAAATAAAGGAAATTCGGACACATGCTATAACATAGATTAACCTTGAACACATATATGCCAATAAACTTGCACCATGTTATATGTACTAAATAATTAGACCTTATAAAAGGACAAATGTGATCCTGCTGCGGGAAGTGCTTAGATTAGCCAAATTCACAAAGACCAGGGCTAAGAGGGAATATGAAATTAACACTGGTAGATATTGTGTTTCTGTTTGGGATCATGAAACATTCTGACAGATAGTGATGATGGCTGTCACCATTATGAATGTACTGAACTGTACCCATAAAAATGGGTAACATGGGGACTGGGGGTAGCATAATGATAACAGCATCTGCTTAGCACATGTGAGCCCCTGGGTTTGGTCTCTTGCACCACAAGCAAAAAAGGTACATGTGGGAGAAGGGAAGTTTAAAATGACAAATATTTACCACAGTGAAGAAATGAACAAAAAGGAAGTTATTCTTCTGGGTTTCATTGTACCAGGGGCTTCTCTTGGTCAAAACCCAAGTAACTGCAGCATAATGTGCCTTTGTCCCTCTGGCCACTGTGTTGTGCATGTGCTCCCTGGGCCAGTGGCTGTGTCTGGAACAGTACCTGGCATAGTTAGGCTGTTCGTCTGTGCTCTGTTTTAATGAAAACACTTTAAGGCTACACTTTTGGGAGCCTGCATGTGTACGGTATGCTCTGTGGAAAGGTGCATCCTATATTCCAGAACAGTCTGTGCCTGGAAATATTTAGTAGGGAGTTGTGATTGTGCCTCTGTTTCTCCACGATAGTCAGTTCTGAGGCAGATTGGAAAAGAGACCACACTGGCACTGGAGGCCTCTGTCGCCACACTATCAGATGGGTTGTTCTAAGCAGGACTGTGGCTCAAACCCAGCAGGCCTGGAGAGGCGGGGTCAGCTCACAACCTTGGCCAGCACATTTGGAAGCTGGTGTCAGTGGTCCATGGGGTCAAAGTACAGCACTGCTACAAAGTAGAAGGGGAGGGAAAGTGAGGGAGGCCCTCTGCCGACCAGGTCCTCAGAGACCTGGGAATTAAACTCCCACATCCAGGGGAGGACAGAATGGCTTTGTTGGCCAAGAGGAGAAGGACCTCACTGTAATTCAGTCCTCTATAGCAGCCAATTTCACAGGGAAACGTGTAAAGCCCAAGCAGGTGTCAAAAAGCCAGCAGCATTACACCTCAAGCCCTTCAAGGGAGGACAGACAGGCCTGTGTCTTCCCAGATCACAGCCCTCTGCTCTGCCTTCACAACCAGCCCTGTAATCAGTGCTTGGCTTCCCAGACTCCTTTGCACAAAGGCAGGGCTTCCCCCTGGGTACCAGAGCACAGAATTCCTGTTGCAGGACAAGCAGCCTCCTAAAGTAAATGAGAGAGCTGGCAACTGGTTTACGGGGTTTATGTTGAGTGCTTCGGACCCTGGTTTGTCCAAAGGCAAGCTCTAGGGCCTCTTCCTCCAGGAAGCCCACCACCCAATCCTGGACTCCTGTTCTTTTGAAAGCTTGGGTCAGAGTCAGAGCTGTTGTTTGCATTAAGTACTAAAGGGAATCTACAAATACAAAAATAACCTGCCCACGCCCACCCCTACCCTCGGATGGGGACCAGAGTGGAAAATACAATGGTCTTCATCTGTTATGCTTAAATACTTTTTGCAAATTTTACAAACACCTGCCCACGGGAGCCCTTGCAAAGACCCTACCACCACCACCACCGCCCTCAGGGCGAAGAAGGAACTACGTGCACGAAGGTCCCTGCAGCGTTAACCCCCGGCGTTAGGTCCTTGTGTGTGAAAGGTTTTGCACTCAAGCTCCCTGGACCTAGGAACTCTGAAAATAAATCAACAAAATAAAGACCACACACAGAATCATACTACATACAGAAAGTGCTTAGCAAGTGGTTTTTGACTGCATATTTGCCCGGGCACGACAGGAATTAATGTCATCAATGACGTCGCAGACACACCGAAGGCTCAAGAGTTTTTCTCCCCGGGATAAAGAGGACTGGGGACAAGGAGTGAAGGCTGGAAGGGGTCACATCAGAGGCAAAGGGAGAACGAGAATAAGGAATTAAGAGGAAAAAAGAATCCTATGTCTGCACTCTCCCGGGAAACGCCAGGAAACACCTGGGGACCGACGGGGACTGGTGGAGACGTGACCAGAACCCGGCCAGCCCCGCCCCCCGCCGCTCGCCACCACCCCCGTGGAAAAAAAAAAAACCCAAACCGGTGACCTCTACCCGGCCGCCTCCCATTGGCCACGTGCGTGAGCGACGCTAGTGCAGACCAATGAGCCGCGGCCACGGCGCGGCGAGCCCTTCCGGCCCGCCCCCGCGCGCCGCCGCACCGCCCGCCAGAGGCAGAGGGCGGGACGTGGGCGCGGCGCGGCAGAGCTGAGGCGGCAGCGGCGCGGACGGCCTGGCGTGCGCTCGGCATGGCTCGCCTGGGGATCGGTAGGCGCGGGCCTGCGGTGGCGGGGCAGGCGAAAGAGCGGATGGCTGGGTGGGGGGCGGCCTGGAAGGCCCCGAGCCCCAAAGCTCCCTTCGGCGGGCCGGAGCGGGCCTGGCCGGGGGACGCGCGGCCTGGTCCCCGGGGGCTGTGAGGGGCAATGGGGGAGGAGGGGCTGCGCAGCCCGGAAGAAGCGAGGACAGCGGGCGGGACCCCGGGGGGCCTCGTTCCCGGGCGTCCTCTCCGGCTCGCGTGCCTCGTGCAGCTGTGCCTCCTGTGTTGGGCAACTCCTGCTTTTAAAAACTGGGAGGTTTAGAGGCCAGTCCTGAAATGAGGACTGGCAGTTGCCGTAGAAAGGGGCAGGGGCCGGCCTTACTCTTTAAATGTCACTGAACGGAGCCCAGGCTCTCAGAAACGCTGTAGGTTAAAATGTCCGGCCTAGCGACTACGGGGGGCGAAGCCGAGGGTCGCGTCCTTCTCGCCCCGACGGTGGTCCACGCAGTCTGCATCCCGCTGGGGGAGTTGGGGTTTGGGGCGAACCTTCCACCTCCACCCCCACCCCCTTGCTAGCTGTGTGATCCGCAGCAAGTTACTTAACCGCTCGGCGCCAGAGCTTTTTCTACCATTGCACCTGTCAGGGTCGCTGGAGGATAAATGAGTTAGTGTACACGGCTAAAGAGTAGAGAGAACAGATGAGGGGCACCATTCCCGTCTCCTAGTTTCCCGTGAATGGATTCAGTCTAGGTTCTCACAGGCCCCTCCTCCGTCGCTTAACTCAGTATTTTAATAAGAGCCGTCTTGGTTTCGGGATAACTGCTTCGGGGCTCTGTACCGTGCTAGCAGATGTGAGGCAGAGATGTTGCGGGTGTGAGTTTATAACACCCTTAACTGCTATGGAGCAATGGGAAGCCACAGATGGCAAAGCCATCTGCGCACATAGATTGTCGACACTGGGATGTTACAGTTTCCCGATGGTGCTCATTATCCCTGAGTTGAAAGGCGATGTGAGTTTTAGAAGCGGAACATCATTGGTTAGCGTTGACCTACTTTACCATCTTAAATGAGCCAGGAACTTTCTTTTGGGGAATATAGTTGGAGGGATATAGACTCCCTTTTTTTTTTTTTTTTTTCTTTTTTTTGCAGTGCTGGGGGTTTGAGCCCAGGGCTTTGCCTTCATGGGCAGGCACTCTCCTGCTTGAGCCACGCCCACAGCCCAGTCATTGACTACTTTTGCTGTCTCAGTTTTTACGTGTTTCACTGTGGTATGTTTGATTTCCATCTGATCCTACTGTGTTACCTTTCCTTTAAAAGCCTAGGTCTCAAACTTTTGATCAGGACATTTTCATTGGGTGGTCATCTTTAAGAAGAAAAACTCTTGAAAGAAATAGACAAAATCTAAAGACAGTCAAAAGCTCATCACCATTACTAGGGGAAAAAGTAACACAAGTCCACATTTAGTGACTAGCAGTCATCACTTTTGTATGGAAAAGAAGCACATTACTAAGGTGCAAAGGAGTGCTTCATCCCTTGGGTGGCCTGAAGGGGAGAGTGCATTCTTTTTTGTTGCCCCTGATTGCCAGGAGAAGCAAAAGCACCTACTTCTCCTACCTCAGTCTGCCCAGTGATGCTCCACCATTGTTCTCTGTCCTGTGGTGAGAAATTTGAGTTGCAAGACCATGTTCTAGCTCATCCTATTTATGTTATCTTTATTCTGTATCTGTTTCCTGGTCTAAAAAATGGGCAAGATGGTACATAGCACATAGGATTCCTTGGTGATTTAAATGTGTGAAATGCTTACAATACATAGTGTGACATAAGTTTCATTGTTTTGTCTAACTATCCCCTTAGGGGGTAGTTGAGCTATTTCAAAATGTTAACCATATTCCCTGATCCCCATGTAAAAATGCCTCTTAAGGAAGCAGTCATACAAGTAGTAGAACTCTCCGGATATGATGGGGTGTGTAATCCCAGCATTCCAGAGATGAGACGGGAGGATAGAGAATTCCAGGCCAACCTAGGCTACACAGTCAAGACCCCTTCTCAAAAAAAAAAAGGAAGAAAAGGAGGAAAAAAGTGTTAGAACTCCATAGATAATTATCCAGGGCCAGTAGTTTTTTTCTTTTTTTTTTTTTCACTTAATGGTCTGTCTCAGAAGCCAAATCCATAGTTAAGTTCTTTCAACAGAAATTCAGGTTCGGGATAGGATTATCATAACAGGACCAATTTTTTTTGTCATCGTTTTGGTGGTACTGGGGGTTAAACTCAGGGTCTTGCTGTTGGTAGGTAAGGGCTCTACCACTTGAGCCACACCCCCAGCTCTTTTTGCTTTAGTTTGTTTTCAGATAGGGTCTTAAACTAATGGTACACCACCACTCCCAGCCCGAACAGGGCCAGTCTTAACTTTGAGCCTTATTCAGAGTTAGGTTCTTGATTTACTTGCTTTGTTAAACATGTCAAACTTTACAGTACTTAACCTTTTTTGCAGCAAAGCAAATTATTTTTGAACAGCACTATCGAACAGAAATATACAAACTTCATCTGGAATTTAATTTCAGGTTTTCTAGTAGTCACATTTAAAAAGACAAAGAGACACTGGTAAAATTAATTCTAATAGTCACACACCACCTAATATTTGACTTGACAGTAGGCACGTTTATGATGGTAGTCCCATAACATATCACCTGACGATGTCCTGGCTGTCCTTAGTTTATTAAGTACACGCTATGATGTTGGCACTATTGTGAAATTGCCTAAGTGGTACATTTCCCAGAGTATTCTGTTATTATGCAACACCTGCCTCTCTTTACCCAGTACGTGAAAAATCTTTTCAACATGTAATCATTATGAAAATATTAAGGACGTTAGTTTATATTTTTCCCCTACCAAGTCTTTGAGACTCAGTGTGCTTTGTACACGTCAAGCCATTTCAGTTTAGGTAGCCACATGCAGCTAATGGCTGCCATAATGGATAGCACGGTTTTGAGGGCGCAACCCCACTGGCTGGTCAAATTTCCAATCACACTCATCCTGTTCTCCCTCTAAAACTGATGAGGTCATCCTATCAGAGGCTGGCATCTCTATCACTGACTCTGGGTTCACTGCCCTCTCTCGGCATTTTGTTCATATATTTGCTGTGTCTTTAACCTTTCCCTCTCCACATTTTTCTTCCTTTTGTGCTCAGATCACTCCCATCTTTATAAAGAAACCTTCCTCTACCCCACATTTGCTTCTCTTTCCTGCTAATCTGTATGCTGTCAACCCGTTGCTTCCTACTCTCTCCAGTCCTTGGCAGACTAGCTACTGATTATTTTTACTACTCTACCACAGCTGCCAGAGGCCCAATAATTTCTTTGTCATTAAATCCACTAGGTGTTTTTCAGTCTTCCCGGCATTATCTCTCAGTATTTGTTACTATTGCCCATTCCATCTTTCTCCTGGTTTATTGACATCACTCTTAAATAAAGCTCAGTTTTATTTCATAAATTTCTACAGAATTAGCCATGTCTGTGATTCAGGTGCAATATTTGTGAATAACAATTGTTCATTTGTGCCCAAGGCATAATGAACTATTTTATCTTGAGCACCAACAAGACAACATAGTTTAATGGGAAAAGCTTAGAAATAGGAGTCAGAGAGCTGCTGTGCCACTTATATTTAGGTGTGCATTCTTTTCTTCCTGCTTTTGATTATTTACAAAAGGAAAGTAATTCCTGCCGTGAAAAATCAAATGTCCTAATGTATTTGAAAGTGACTTGAAAATTGAAAGTGCTATATGATAGAGAATTTAGACATAGGCAGTTAACATTGGTATAGATCCTTCCAGGAGAAATTTTTATTGGGTTATTCCAAAAAGTTCCATTTGAAATCTTCTAAATTATGTGTACAAGGTCAGCATATGGAAACATGACTAAGATGGCATGTATACACTGCTTTAGAAGACAACCAGTCTACCCATTGTGGTGGTAGTTGCCTGTAATCCCAGCACTCAGGAGGCTGAGGCAGGAGGATCTTCAGTTCCAGGCCAGCCTGTGCTACACAGTGAGATCTGTCTCAAAAAAAAAAAAAAGCCAGTCATTTTTTAATTCATTGTATCAATGCAGTATAAGGAAGAAATTATATGATGATCTTCATAGATGCTGGAAAGACAGGAATAGATGGACTTTTTTTTTTTTTTTTTTTTTGCAATATTGCAGTTTGAACTCAGAACCTTGCACTTGCTAGGCAGGATAGACTTTTTTTTTTTTAGATAAGGTCTTGCCAGCTTTTTGCCAAGTCTGGCTTCAAACTTGCAAACTTGTGATCCTCCTTAACTCGGCCTCCTGAGTAGCTAGGATTACAGGTGTGAGCCGCCAGGTGCCTGGCCAGGATAGACATTTCTTTAACATCACAAGTGTATCTATCTCAGCCCCAAAGCCAACATCATACAAATGGGAAACAGTCCTGTTAAAATCAAGAACAAGCCAAAAATACTGCATTATTTAATATTGTCCTGGAAGATGATAGAATACAAGTTATTCATAGTTGGAAGCATGGCTCAAGTGGTAAAGTGTCTGCCTAGCAAGCAGGAAGCCCAGAGTTCAAGCCCCAGTACTGCCAAAAAAAGAGAAAACAAATTATTTATATATATCAACTTAAAGTGAAATATTGATAGCATTGCCAATTCAAAAAAACTTTTGAGCCATTTGAGAGGAAGAAGCAGAAGGGCAGGAGTTTGAGGCCAGCCTGTTCTATAGAATGAGATTTTGTCTCAAAAAACCCAAAAGTACAAACAAACAAAAACTAAATCAATCAAATAAGAACCTTTTGAGTTCTTAATCTATTAAGTCAGTTCAGTGTTCATATTCCTTTTTTCTGTATAATTGGTATAAGTTGCATTTAATTATCTCAGACTAGCCAACAAAAATTTACTTGATCCATAGTGTGGCTAAACTATGCTACTGACAATGCAGTAGACTTAGTGTCCTCCTTTATAATGCTGTTCACATGAAAATTCTTCCTAAGTTCATCCAGTAGCATGAATGTCTGACAATGTGATATGGATGGTGTAAATAGAAATAAAAGACAGGATATGGTAGCACATGACTGTAATCCTAGCTGCTTAGGAGGCAGAGGTAGGAGGATCGGGGTCAGAGGCCAGCCTGGCAAAAGCATGAGACCTTACCTGGAAAAACTAATAGCAAAAGGACTTAGGGGTGTGGCTCAAAGCCCTGAGTTCAGTTCCCAGTATTACCAAATAAATAAACTTACAAAAACTATCATTGCCCTTGAGAAGAGTCATAGTGTAGTAGGAGAGAAAATTGCTTTTCCCTTTAAAAAGTTGTAATAAAGATATGTTGCTAACATGCAACTGGATAATAGGAAGAATAAATACTGTGGATTACCCAAGGCCACACAACTAGCATGACCTCAATTTTTCAGTGTTCTTGGCCATAAAGTGGTAATAATAGTCCTACCTAATAGGATGATTGTAAAGAATAAAGGTGTTGATATTGGAAAGCACCAAAAACGGTGCTCACATTTTTCCCACTGCCACTCAAGAAATGTGGGGACAAAAAAGGGAAAAAAAAAAATTGGGGACTATGCTCTTTCTTGCTCAGTGGTACACCAGTGGGAGTGAAGTTTGTGGGCTCTAGCAGTGAGGTATGAGTGCAGACCCAGGCCATCCTCCTGTGTGAACAGTGCCATCACTGGTGTGCTTTTGTTGTTACCCAGGTCTGGTGAGCTGTACCTTCTTTCTGGCAGTAAATGGTCTGTATTCCTCTAGTGATGATGTCATCGAATTAACTCCATCAAATTTCAACAGAGAAGTTATTGAGAGTAACAGTTTGTGGCTTGTAGAATTTTATGCTCCATGGTAAGTATCATAAAATAGTTGCAGATGATTTATGGTACTTTATAAAATGCAAAATACTATATAAAAATCTGATTTTGTTCAGTCGTCTAGTTTATGTAGTTTACTGCTTGTTGAAAGGAAGTAGAGAAGGAAACGCATATGTGGAATCTGTTAAAGCCTGTGGAGATTGAACCAGAAAAAAGGTGGTTGCAGCAGCTAGTAGTTGCAAGAAAGAAGACAGGAAAAAAAGGCTTACAGTTTAAGGTATCTCCTTACAATGAAGTGAATGAGATAGGGGCGGAAAGGAAGTTAATTTTATGAAGAAAGAATCCTGAGCAATGGAAAGAAAAGAACCAGTGATTGGTTCAAGTTCAAGGCCAGCTGTATAGTGAGAGACTGTGTCTCCCCCCAAAAAACTAATGATGCATAATTGTGTATAGTCAGAATACAGTATTGCCCTGTTCATGTAAAGTATTTAATGCAAAAACAAAAACAAACAAATAATGGAAGCTACACAAAATATGAACAGTGCCTGATAGGCAATACCACATGAAATTCTTGCCATCAAATCTTCCTAACCTGAGTGGGTGCATTTCCTTTATTGCTTTAATTTCTTCCTTTGTTAGATTCTGACCTTGAGTTTGGGAAACTCAGTACTGGTCCTCATGGACTATTTCACCTAAATTTGTTGTAGCAGATTAAGGTAAAACTACTTAAAACTTTACATTGCCACATTGTGAATCCTGTTCATCTTAGTGCCTTTACTATTTTTAAAAGCTCTTTTTTTTGGTGGGGGGGGGTTGGTTGGTTGTTTTGTTTTTTGAGACAGGGTCTTAACTACGTAGTTCAGGCTATGTAGCTCAGGCTGGCCCCCATCTCGCAAGTACTAGGATTATAAGTGTGCACCCAGCTACAAGTTCAACATTTTTTTTGTGGTGCTGGGGCTTGAACTCAGGACCTGCACCTTAAGCCACTCCACCAGCTTTTTTTTGTAAAGAGTTTTTTGGGTTTTTTTTTTTTTTTTTTTCCAAGATAGGGTCTTGCAGAACTATTTGCCTGGGCTGGCTTCAACCGAGATCCTCCTGATCGCTGCCTCCTGAGTAGCTAGGAATATAGGCATGAGCCACCAGCACCCAACAAGTTCAACTTTTTGTCCTTTGTGTCAGGGTAGTTTACCTTGTTTCTGAGAGCTGCAGTACAAGAAAATATACTTCATTCTAAAACTATACCTGACAGCCTAATTGAGAAGGCAAGATCTAGATTATGGCAGCTAATTATTGTTACCCTGGCAGAGTTTTACTGCACAGTGTTCTTGGTAAGGAAATGTCTAATTCGAGCGGGTGCTTTTAACCTTTACTCCTTTAGCAGCCTAGTGCAGCCCTTGGATTCCTTTGTAGAATAAAGGCTTTACTGATTAAATAGAACATACAGCTCCATATGTGATGGTGTATACCTGTAACTCCAGCATTTGGAAGTTGAGGCAGGAGGGTTAGCCTGAGCTACATAGCAAGACCCTATCTCAAAAAAAGAAAACAAGCAGGACATGGAGGTTAATGCTTATAACCCCAGCACTCAGGAGGAGCACTGAGGCAGGAGCATATAGTGTTGCAAAGGAAGCCTAAAGTGTTGAAATATGATTATTTAAGTACTAAATAAATCTTGATATGTTAATGTAGTGTAGGTTGAGTGTCCCTTATCTGTAATTTTTGAGACCAGAGGTATTTCAGATTTTGGAATATTTATAGACTTTACCCATTGAGCATCTCTAATCTAAAAGTCAGAAATCAGAAACTTTTGGAACATTGTTTCACAATGCTCAAAGGTCTTAGGTTTTGGATTTCAAATTTTAGGATTAGAAATACTCAACCTGTATTTCTTTACTAGCACAGTAAATACCAAGAGGCAGTAGCAAGTCTAACAGCTCCCATAATTCTGAAGGTATAGTGTGTATAAGCAATGCTTTGAAATATCTAAAACAACTCCAATGATGCTTCATAATAAAATGATTTTTAGTGGTTACAAAGTAATAAGTACTAACCCAATCAGCTATGGAATGTAGTTTACATTCATAATTGAAGGAAGTCCTAAATTTCAATTACAAGTTAGTGAAAACAGATGTATATTTATGTAACACTTTAATCTGCATATTGCCTAACCTTCACATTGAAAGGGTATGTGCTCTGGAGTCTGATTTGAATCCTCCTTTCTTGGATAAACTGAAATGTAAGCCCTATAAAAGCTTTATTCCTATATTCTAAGTGTCCCACCTGAGTAACAAGACATCCCATATGTAACTGTGCAGAAGTGCTGCCTCAAGGCATTTTCCTGACTGATCCTTACTTAAAATATTGGGACTGAGTTTAAGTATCTATAATGCGGTATTACATAGTGATTAAGAATGTGATACCTATGAGCCAAGCTCAGAAAGCCATGTATCTCATGTGTTCACTCATTCGTAGAATCTAGACCCAAAATGACAATTATAATAATGGGACATGAATGTAAAGGGGAGACTGGCTTAAGGGGGTAACAGTGGGAGGAGGGGAAGGAGGAAAGGAAACGAAACTGAGAGGTGAAAAGGATTGAAGTTTTATATGTATGTATTATATATAATATATTTACATATACATGGAGGGGAGGTTTGAGGGAGGATAAGAACAGAAGAGAGGGGTGAACTTGTTCAAAGTACACAGTACGCATCTATGAAATCATCACAATGAACCCCTGTAACTATCAATGTATGCTAATTAAAACATTAAAAAATGTGATAGCTACAGTAAAGTATAGGCAGGTCCTAGCTATAGAATCAAAGTTTTTAAAAGAATGTGGAATTTAGAATCAAAACCCAGTTTGGCCGAGAGCGTAGATCAGTGGTAGAGTGCACGTTTGGCATGCATGAGGCACTGGGTTTGATCCCCAGCACCACATAAACAAAAAATGAACCTGTCAGGCAGACACCACTGAGTGCCTGTGTGATATTGGGTAAATTTCTTCTCAGTCTGTTTTAGCATTTGTAAAATGAAAATAATGACAGGTCTTACCTTCAGCTTTATGCTAATTTAATGAAACCTTTTATGAAAAGTAATCATGATGCCCATCAGGTCCTTGGAGAATTTTAAAACTTTTTTTTTAATCCACCAAATCATGCATGGATAAACTGTGGTGTCAGCATAAAACAGGTATATAGCAATGAAAATAAATAATACAGCTACCTACAAACTTAATGAATAATAGAAACATGGGCTTCTGTGTATATGATCTTTTCAAAGTACTTTCTGGCTGGGTGCAGGTGGCTCATGCCTGTAATCCTAGCTACTCAGGAGGCAGAGATCAGGTGGATCAAGGTTCAAAGCCAGCCCAGGCAAATAGTTCGAGAGACCCTATCTCAAAAAAACCCATCATAAAAAATGGGCCGGTGGAGTGGCTCAAGTGGTAGAGTATCTGCCCAGCAAGTGTAAGGCCCAGAGTTCAAACCCCAGTGCCACTAAAAAAAAAAGAGTGCTTTTCTGTTGTTACATTTCACAATACTGGTACCCAGAGATTAAGGTTCTTTTCTCTTGTGTTCTTGTTCTCGCCGCTCTGCCTTTTTGTGGTGCCACATCACATGCTTTTCACCCTGTTAAGTTTGTTCACTTGGGTTTGGATTTGTGTGTGCACTTTTAATCTTAGAATTGTTCATGGTAGCCAGCGTCATAAGCACAAGAGATCTGGGTCAGATGCTTCCGTTATAAAATGAGAAGATTGAGCTGGTCATGGTAATCCCAGCACTCAGGGAGGATCATGAGTTTGAGACTAGCATGGGCTACACAGTGAGTCTGTCTCAAAAGCAAACAAACAAAAAAACTTGGGTTACATCAGAGAATGTCATACCTTGATAGGCTTAAGATTAGTAGTAGAACTCATTAAAATTCAGATTCCTTCTCTAGAATACTGATTTCATGGGGCCCAAGAATCTTTATTTGCTTAGTCTTGTAGATCGCCACACTGAGGTACATTGGACTTGATAGGTTCTTATCCTGTTCTAGGGTAGAGTTCAACAAGTGGTAGTTTATTTAAACTATGACTTATTGGATTTCTGTATTTGAATGATACAAAAAATTATTATCAGTAAGTAATAAAATGTCCTCATGTCACTGATCCTGTTTTATTAGTGCATGTTCTACTTGCAGGTCTCCACCCCCAGTGCATCTCATCAGTAGACCACTGATGGATGGTTCATGAATTGAGGATCAGAGGCTTTAACTGTCACCTTATGTGTGTTTTTTTTCTCCAACAAGGTGTGGTCATTGCCAAAGATTAACACCAGAATGGAAGAAAGCAGCAACTGCTTTAAAAGTGAGTTTCTGAAATGTGCACATTTAACCTTGTGTGTTTAAGCATGCTGGTGGTTGAGTGAACACTAGGAAGCTAATTTGCATATCAAAATTCAAATTCTAGTAATGGTATCACATAGGGGAGGTGGGGAAAATATGCATTTTTCTCTTTTATGTTGTCTGGTTTTATTCATCTGTTTCTCAGCTAAATGGTGATTCCTCTCAGCGGCACTTACTCCGAGTAGAGTTCATTCACTTATCACTCCACTTAGATTCTCTTTTGGTTTTCAGAACTAAAACCCACAAAGACTGTATTTGCAAGTTGTATTTGGCTCTCTGCCTTGGTATGTGAATCAAGTGATGCTCTAGTTGAAGGAAAAACCAGTAACGATTTTGCGTTTCCACAGGATGTTGTAAAAGTTGGTGCAGTTGATGCTGACAAACATCAGTCTCTGGGAGGTCAGTATGGTGTCCAGGGATTTCCTACCATCAAGATTTTTGGAGCTAACAAAAACAGACCAGAAGATTATCAGGGTAAGGACTTTCCTCACTATTCCATTTCCTATAGAAGAGAACCTGAAAGCTTTTCAGCCTCTTTGTGCTGACTCTTCTGTCTGTAAGTGGCATAGGGTGTTCTTACCCCCTCCCAGGTTCTGAACATTACAGTGTCATTCAAGTACAGTTTTCTGTTGTCATTTATGTAGCTTAGGCCTATACTACCTTACAGAATCTTTTGTGCTTTTCTCATGTCTTTCTCATTACAGTTACTTAATATCTAATAAAGATATTGCTACTATAGTAAATCAGTGTGAAGAAGACCCTGAGATTTGAAAGTTATTTTAAACTGTTGATATTACTTTGCAGTATTTTGCTTAGGAATCTTTTTATGCCTTCTAAAGATAGCATGTGGATGCAAAAGCTGTTTAGTCTCGCAAATTATTGATAATAAATAGGTACTCCAAATTTTCCATCTTGTAAGTAAATTGTGAGTGTGTACTGTGAGTCACTGAGGCAACCAAAGAGAGAATTCTGGCTCTAGACTCCCTAGACTAAATGTTAACTTTAGTCACACTGTTCTTTTGTAGAATAGTCCTAATTAAGACATCCCAAACAGAAGCTGGGGATGTCCACAGTAGCAGAAGTGGTGCTTAGCATATGCAAGGTCCCTGGTTACATCCCTAGCACGACAAACCACAAAAACCAAACTTGCCAGGTTGGGTGAATGAAAATATAGAGCAAAATGTACTTATGTTATGGCTAATTTGATTAAATTTTTTAAAGAACTTGTTATAGGGTACATAATGTGACTGAACTTTGTCTACCACCATAGGTCTTGCTTTGTGTGAACAAGAAATGCCTGTGGAGCTGAGTAGGAGAGTCAGCATCACAGCAAAACACAGTTGTCATGCTACCTGCACTTTGTATTCTGTGTGGGGTCCTGCTGACAAAAGGGGAAGGTCAGGGGAAGTGTGAACTGCTGGTCTTACTACCCTCTGGTCTCAAAACTAAACAGGACTTAATTGCTCTGAGCTTGCTTCTTATCTGTAAAATGAGGATATGAAAGCCCTATTTTAAGCTATCAAGTTTAATTAAGATAGTATTTGTAAAACAAAGGAGACAAGTACCTGTTAGATATCAGTGTAGTTGAGAAATCTCCAAGCTGGGGGTCAGACTCCTTAGAGATACATCATTTCTTTTAGATTCCTCACCCCCAAAGTTCTGTGAAATGATCAGTTTCATTTTTGTAAGTAAATATCTGCTTTTCTGCTTTGGAATAATTATTTATTCTATTTTCCTATTTTGAAAAGATGGAATATTTAGAGCATTCGAACTGCTACTGTTTTTGTTAATAAGGTTTTTGGAATACAACCATGCCTGTTCCATTACCTATTGTCCAGGGCTGCAGTACAAGGCTACCTGAGCATACTCTGAGGCTACTGTACAGTCATCTCCCTTATCTGCAAGGGATAAGTTCCAAGATCCCTCAGGAATACTGAAACCTCAATTGTACCAAACCCTGTTTAAATTGTTTTTTTTTTTTTTTCTTAAACATATGTACCTTTTTTGAAATAGACACATTAAGAGATTAACAATAATGACCAGTAATGAAATAGATCATCTATAATACACAGAAGTAAAAGTTAGTGAACGTGGTCTCTCCTACAAGTAATATTTTCAGACCACGGTTAACTGAAACCACTGAAAGCGAAACCTCAGCCGGGCGCTAGTGGCTCACTCCTGTAATCTTAGCTACTCAAGAGGATCACCTTCCAAAGCCAGCTCCAGGCAAATAGTTTGAGAGACCCTATCTCAAAAGTAGCTGAAACAAAACAGGGCCGGAGGGGCTCAAGTGGTAGAGCACCTGCCTAGTAAGCATGAGGCTCTGAGTTCAGATCCTAGTACCATGAAAAAGAAAAAAAAAACAAAACCTCAGATGGGGTAACGGTCTACTATACTGTACTGTATTTTCTTTCTAATGGGAAGGTTTTTTTCTCTCTTCCTGAGTAGTTCCATTAGCTAAAGAAAAGGAAAAAATGAGACTTTATGAAGAGATTCTAGTAAAGCTTGCCCTTTGAACTCTGAAGATACCCTCAAAGTATATATTATCCTTGCTCTTCTGGGCCAGTGACTTGCTTTTGAGTCTTAAGCTTGTAGTTCAGGTCAACCTCCACCTGCTATTGTCACTTTGCAACTGAGTTTAGCACCAGTTTGTTACTTGTGTTAGGATAACCAAGATAGGAAAAAAGAGCTCTGATTGCTTTCTAGCTACTTGGCTTCAAAGACATCTCATATTGTACTTTTTCCACATGCTTTTTTTTTTTATGTCTACTGTCTTAGGAATAGTTTTTTCTGTATTTGGATATTTCCCCTGCTTTGCTCACTAGACAATAAACTGCTTATCTGTACATGTTGTTATGTGAATTGTTCTCCTTAGAAGAAGATATTTACAGGTGATGTTCACATTAATAACCTAGAACCAAAGAAGAGAAATTCTAGTGCAAAACACATTCTAGGGATAAAGTGCCATCATAAATACCGGTATTGTTAGATCTGTTTATCATCAAGCATGCTGACACATATGTAAAGAAGTGCCAGCCTGAAGTGGCCTGCCTCCATCTAACTGTACTTTGCTGTCTTGCAGGTGGCAGAACTGGTGAAGCCATCGTAGATGCTGCCCTCAGTGCTCTGCGCCAGCTCGTGAAGGATCGCCTTGCGGGAAGGAGTGGTGGATACAGCTCTGGAAAACAAGTGAGGCTATGTAATATCTCTTTGTAATGTGTCATGACTTTGTATCCTTGTTGAAGAAGGATTTTCCCCCCAATATTTTAAATGGTGAGCTTTTTATTAAATCATAGGAGGTTGTGTCATCTGATCCCACCCAGCCTTCTCATTGGCCTCCTCTGAGTAATCATTGCATGCATAGTCAGTCCCAGGATTGAAATGGAGAATTGAGACCGCAGAGCAAGAAGGAGCTCCAGGCTGAGGGAGCCAGGCTCTGGGATACCATGGCCTTCATAATTCCAGAAAGGAGAGGGTGGACTGGCCCTTTCCAGGTTGACTTGGGGCAGACAGCGGTGAAATTTGTATCAGTTAATTGGTTTGTTTATATCTATTGGTCAGCCTGAAATCCTTGGAAAAATCCTATGTGAAGGAGTAGAGAAGAAGAGGAAGAAAGAATGTTCCTGGGACTGGTATTTTTAGATGCCTTTGTATATAAAATGTGGAGCTCAGTTGTGATGTACTTCATTCTTGTGCAAAGGCACTGGAGTTTATATGTTTTATTTTGGTTTTTGAAGTACTAGGGTTTGAATTCTAGGCCTTGCACTTGCTTGGCAGGTGATATACCACTTGAGCCGTACCTCCAACCCTTTTTGCTTTAGTTTTTTTTCAGATAGGGTCTTAACATTTTTTCCTGTGTCTCCTGCATAGCTGGGATTGCAGGTGAGACCCACCATCTCTGGCTTGTTTGCTGAGATGTAGTCTCACTAACTTTTTGCCTGTGCTGGCCTTGAAACTTGATCCTCCCTATCTCTGCCTCTCAAATAGGTATTGAAGTATTTATAAAATGGCTTTTCATTCTTTCAGGAGACTAATAAAACTAGGTCTTTTTGTATAGCCTGAGAGCTACCCAGAGATTTCATGCTCTTCTCTTTAATTTCAGACTTAGCCGTTTGATAAGCATGGTTGTCTGACTCCTGCCCTTGTTTTTAGTGTTGCCACAGAAAAAAGCACAGCAATGCTGGCTGCTTGTTGGGTTTAGTACTGAAGAAAATTATTTGAAAAAAGGAAAATAGGTCTGGGGTGTACTTCAGGCAGAGGGCACTTGCCAGCATGTGTGAGGTTTTAGGTTCCGTCTCACCAGCACAAGAAAGAAATGAAGGGAACGAGGCATTAAGCAGATGCTAGTTTTAGCTTTCTAGATGCTAGTAAAAGACGTTACTGTGAAAGTAACGTCTTCATCCTGGGGCAGGATGAGCAGCGCTGTGCCTGAGTCTTGAGTTATGATGGTGATTCATTCTTTGAGCCATCTTGAGGTTTCTCTTAATAGCAAGTGAAAGAATTTAGGGACAGGTTCTGTGTTGTACTGAATGTAGTATAAGACTGTTTACCAAGCAAAAGTATACTATGTAGTAAGCAATATTATCAAATGCCTCCAATTTGAATAACAATTTTAACTTACTAAAGAAAACTCAAAAGCTTCATTACAACATAAAATGATTGTTATTTTATATGTATGTTTAGAATAGGAAGTATTCTTTTTGGTCAAGTTGTAGTTTGACCTTTATTATCACATGACAGGGCAGAAGTGATGGTTCAAGTAAGAAGGATGTGGTAGAGCTGACGGACGACAGCTTTGACAAGAATGTCCTTGACAGTGATGACGTTTGGATGGTTGAGTTTTATGCTCCATGGTGTGGACACTGCAAAAAGTGAGTGCTTTCTACCAGATAGTCCATTCATTCCCAGTGCTTTCAGTATGTCCATCTGGCTCCTTTGAAGAGAGCTGAACTAGATTATCTACTGGTAATCTCAGAGATTTCCAAGAAAATGGACTCTTAAGTGTTCAACATCACCATTGGTGCCAAGAGTTCCTCATCACGTTTTTGGAGATTATTACCAGGGGTGGCTTGTGTCCACATCTGGGGGGAATGGTGAAGGTCTTGGGAAGCGAAGGTGAAGGCTAGCATCGTTCATTTTTTGAAATACATAAGATGTTTTCTTGGTGTGGCATAAAATAGGGACTGGGCAGAAATGCAGACAACCCTAGTACCTGTACTGAGTGAAATGCACTAATGCCATTTGTCTCTATAGCCTGGAGCCAGAGTGGGCTGCTGCAGCCACAGAAGTAAAGGAGCAGACAAAAGGAAAGGTGAAACTGGCAGCCGTGGACGCCACCGTCAACCAGGTTCTGGCCAGCCGGTATGGGGTGAGTGCACACATTTCTTTGGGAAATACGTAAGATTTTCAACTGTCACTTGATCCAGTACCCCAGGCCTTCCTGGAAGGTAGAAGGGAAGATGCTTAATCATTTTGTAAACAAGAGATTAAGACTTTTATCATCATACCTGTCACATCTAGAACTCAGGACTATTGGGTTCTTTTTAGTGTCACACCACTTGTACTGCACATTTATTGGGAGGTTTCAGCTTGCCCCAGCTTTTACAAGTTATTCTCATGGCTTTTGAAAGTTGTTTGCTCTGGAGCATCAATAGTGTATTAAATATGCAAAGCAGCTAGAGCAAGGTTTGACTGAACTTTCAGCCTCTGCAGTCAGATTGTTAAAAACTCTGTGACTAACACACCTCTGAGACTCATTCCTTTGACACTGATGTGGGCTGGGGGGGGGTTATTAATTTAATTACTTAATTCAAATTAATTTATTTTGAGACAAGGTGTCTGTGTTGCCCAGAGTGGCCTCCAATTTAGGATTCTCCTGCTTTACCCTCCCAAGTAACTGAGATTATATGCATGCACTACTATATGCAACTAGGGAATGTTTTTGTTCTAGTAAATTATTTGCAAAGTGGTTTTAGAAACTCTAAAGATTGTGAGTTTTTTTTCTTATCATTAAATTTTCTGACTTTTTTTTTTTTTAATAGATTAGGGGATTTCCTACAATCAAGATATTTCAGAAAGGGGAGTCTCCTGTGGATTATGATGGTGGGCGGACAAAATCTGACATTGTATCCCGGGCCCTTGATTTGTTTTCTGACAATGCTCCACCTCCTGAGCTGCTGGAGGTAAACTACCAACCACTTGTAGTGAGGAGAGCTTTTCTACTCTGAGAGTAAGAAGTGTTAAAGCTGTCCAAGTTAACCTCTTGCCTTCCTTCTTAAAACACTAGAAGGTGGTTTTATACTTTGAAATGGAAAACACTCTGATAAATTGCTTCTTTCATAACTTTAGCATTAAGTTAACTATACTGTGAGCAAATGGATACCTACACTTCTTAAAAATCCAGTGAATTCAGTCACTTCTAGGCTATTTTTCCCAAAATAATAGCCAACATTTATTCGGCACCTAACGATGGAATGGACACTATTCTAGTTTTGTTAGATTTCTTCTTTAGTTCTCACATGAACGCTGAGAGATAGATTCTGTTTTTTGTCTCCATTTTACATGTGAGGAAACTGAGGCACAGATAACCTCAAGCTTGTATAGATGTATAGTACAATTATTTAAACGAGTATAATCTATCTGTTTAAACGAGTAAGTGGTAGGCTAGGCTGTGCCCATGCTTTGTGATTTCAGAGGCAGTATGTATTCAATAAATGCCTTTGAAATAAATCACAGCAATCTTTTATAGAGCATTGGTGTTGGTGTTTCCATGTAAGGAAGTATGATTTGAGGGGCTTCTGTTTGTAATAGAAGGGCCAGTGCCAGGCCTTTGTTTTCAGGTTTACCCTGGGTGCTGTGTTCAGCCTTCCAACCAGACTTTGCCTTCTGGGTCCCACAGATAACCAATGAGGATGTGGCCAAGAAGACATGTGAGGAGCACCAGCTCTGTGTTGTGGCCGTGCTGCCCCACATCCTGGACACTGGTGAGCTGCCTCCCATCAGTCATCCCTGTGTTGGAGGCTCTGAGAGCACTCCCTAAATGGATCGATTTTATTTTTACTTTAAAATTTTTTGTCTGTTTCAATCAGGAGCTTCAGGCAGAAATTCTTACTTGGAAGTTCTTCTGAAATTGGCAGACAAATACAAGAAGAAAATGTGGGGGTGAGTTATTATCTCAGCTCAATGGATAGGACTTCCAGAAAGTGCCCTCCATGTTTTCTGTAGGATGTGCTTGCCCTGCTGTATGATTTTATTTAAGGTAGAAAAACAGCAGTGTGTGCCTGGAATCCCAGTCCTTGGAAGGCTGCAGTGGGAAGATCTTGAACTTGGGCTACGTAGTGAGACCCTGTGTCAAGAAAGGAAAACAGTTGTCATCTAGGAGGAAAGGGAGTAAGGCAGGTCTCTTGTTTATAAGGTACTTCTGTACTTCTGTGCCCAGGATAACACTGCTTATAGGAACTACCTTTAAAAGATGCTTGGGGTTCCAGGCTGATAAGTAAAAACTAATAACATAGCTGAATTCTAGTATGGCCTCAAAGGGGCTAATTAGGATTGTAATCCAGAAGAACACAGACTCAGTCAATATTACCCACTTCTGAGTGAGGGCTGGATCAAGCAGAAATTTTTTTTTTTTTTTAATTTAGCCCAGACTAAATAATATTGGTGGGATATAAGGTAAAAATAAAGGGAAATCAGTGGACAGTATTTTGAGGCTGAGGACAGAACTGTGTATAGATACAGCAATCCGTTCTGGAGACTTTATTAAGACTAACTAGATTCTAACTGATTTAGAAGGTGTCTTTGCCCTAAACCCAGTCTGCTTTTGTAGGTGGCTGTGGACAGAAGCTGGAGCCCAGTCCGAGCTTGAGAATGCGCTGGGGATTGGGGGGTTTGGGTACCCCGCCATGGCAGCCATCAATGCCCGTAAGATGAAGTTTGCTCTTCTGAAAGGGTCTTTCAGTGAGCAAGGCATTAATGAGTTTCTCAGGTAATTTCTTGTTTTTTTTGTTTGTTTTTTTCTGTTTGTTTTGGAAGTAGGTGTATATAAACCAGGCAGTAAGTGGGATTGTTTTGTATTTGCAGTTTGAGACAGAGTTCAGTATTTATAAAGTAGATCTTCTAGAATCTTCTTGTACCATAATTTCTTTTCCATGGAAATAATGTACACAGTAGATGATGAGACTATCTACTGCCATCAGGCCACCTTGCTTGCCATTCTGTGCACCTGGCCTTGGACTCATTCTAAAGGTCTCATACAGGCTGGAAGGCAGCCCTGTCTCAACCATTCATACCCAGTATGCTTAGTGCTCCTGACCTCGGGGAAGGCGGATCCCTTTCTGGACACTTGTCTTTGGAATTAGTTATTTGAAAATGGGTGGACTCCCTATAATGTGCCAAGTATGATCGGTTCTCAAACTCAAGCCAGTTAATAGAGCTCTCCATCCTTCTGTGCTGCTCACCTCATCCTAAAACTGACTAGGTCATCTTTAGGCAAATACAAGACCAACCTAGAAATTTGTTTCCTAGTTCTTTTTTCCTTGCTCATTTCTTAACTGCTGTGTGAAAGATACCCAGCACACAAAAGGTAGCTTAGAAACTTGGAAACACAAGAAGTCTGGTGTTTTTCCAGCATGAATTTTCACAGACATATACACCAGCTCTCTGCTAACGCAACCGTGAAAGCTTTGTTGAAACCACTCCCCTCACTTTGATGTGCTGTACAAGTTTAGTCTTAGAAAACAAGATTCATAGGTAGCCTTTGTTCTAAATCAACTTTGATAGCTTTATGTACTTAACATTTTTATCCCTGCCCTTATCAGATTCAGAGACCATAGGAGTGTCCCTCCTGGTTGTGGTATTGTCCAGAGTTGAAAAGATAACACTGTTCTCAGCTTTTTCTTAGGCATATCCTGCATCAAGGGGCAGGAAATGCCTCTCTGTGCGCAGAGTAGGCAGATCACTCTTTTGAAAGAGTTGTTTATTCTTTTATTAATGGTTGATTGCTCATCAGCAGACATCATGAATGTGTATGTTTGGTTATTTTCCCCAAGGGAGCTGTCTTTCGGGCGTGGCTCCACAGCACCTGTAGGAGGTGGGTCCTTTCCTGCCATAATTGCCAGAGAGCCCTGGGATGGCAGGGATGGTGAGGTGAGTGCCGGCTGAGACCATGCAGCATTCAGCATTGGAGACAGTGCTGTTTTTATCTTTCCTGAGCCCTGTGCATTATCTGCCTGGAAGTTGAGTCCTCCTTCAGACCCAGCACCTTTCAAGAATTCTTTCCCTAAAGATCCTTTACTCTATCTTCCCTAACACATGAAAATGTGGTGTGTGGCACTGGGTGGTCTTGGTCTTGATGGGGATCCAGGTTAGATTTCAGTAGTGGGATTGCTTTCTGATTATTCCTCCTAAAGTGTTGATTTTCAACCTGGAATTTGTTTACTTTGTCTCAGAAATGTAAATGTAGCTTTAAAATTAGCATTTCTATACAGTTCTGGCCAACTGTCCTCAGTTTTGCTTTTATTTTTGAGACGGTGTCTCACTATTGTAGCTGGGCTGGCCTGGAACTCATGATGCAGTGCCCCTGCCTGAGCCTCCCAAGTGCTGGAATTAGAGGCTGGCACCACCAAACCTGGCTGGCTTTCAGTTTCAAAGAGATAGGAATGTTCTATTAAAATCATGCTTCAAAGACCAGGTGTGCTGGCATATACCTGTAATCTCAGCTTCAGGAGGTTGAGGCAGGAGGATCTTGAGTTGAGAGCCAACCTGGGCTACATAGTGAGACTCTCTCTCAAAAAGAAAAAAAATCATGCTTCATCCAGTTCTCAGCTTTTCCATGGGAATTATGATAGGTATAAGAGCCAGGTTGAGGAGAACCCAGCTTGTAATCTGGAGTCTCTAGAAGTTAGAGTGCTCCTCTGTTAAAGGATCGCCTGTCCACCTTTTGGACTCCATCTGTGGCTCTGACCCTGGTTTCTCTCTCCCAGCTTCCTGTGGAGGACGACATTGACCTCAGTGATGTGGAGCTGGATGACTTAGAGAAGGACGAATTGTGAGGGCAAGACCCACGCCTCAAATTTCTTTTCTTGGGAGCGAGCAGACCTTTCCAGCAGTGAAGGAACATTCTACCAGTGGCCTTTCTAACCAAAAAGTAGCCCCTGATCGGCCATTTGAAAACACTGCAACAGTGAACTTTTGCATCTCAAGAAAACATTGAAAAATTCTATGAATTGCTGTAGCCAGTGAATTGAATTGTTTTCTGTCGCATAATATTTTGAAGAAAACTGGGTTGTTGAAACATTTTTCCCTCTGACTGCTGCTTGAATGTTCTTGGAGGCTGTTTCTTATATATAGGTTTTTTTTAAATGTGGTTCCTTCATTTGAATATTAATGGCTTTTTTCCATTAAAGAATAAAACAATATTTTGGACAATGCCGATAAATGTATGAAATTAGTGTCCACATCATAAATTTCAGTCTGATGTTTAGCTAGAAAAATAATATTATGAACTTATGAGCCTGATGTCTCCTCCCTGTGATTTTAAAATGGAACACACCTGTGACCCAGATGCTGCCATCTATGCACCACACACAGGGTGGTGCACCACACACCAACTGGGTTGGCAAGCAAGAGCTGCATTTCACGCCTTGTCACCAGTGACTCATGACTGGGGAATATACTTAGTTATACAGTAAGCGAAAGGTTTTCTTTGCTCCTCCTCATCCCCATAAAACTTTCAGGAAGACATGAAAGACAACACTGGGTTAACAGATTATAGACAGTTCACATTTATCTAAAACACTGAAAAAAGGAAGTTTTGAATTGTGTTAAAACATAAGGAAAAAGATGATTCAAGTGACTGAGCATTTTATTGCAACTTAAAAAATAAATACACTGTAATAAGTTGTGAGCAATTTTTCTGGAAGTGAGAAGTCTTAGGACTACTCCGCTTGGAGCATGCATAGTCTGCATGCCAGTGGAGCTTGGGGCAACCCGCCCTCCTAGTCAAGAAGACTGAGGTCGATGTGGAAGTAGACATAGGGGAAATAGTCCTGGTTACTGAGCTGTAGACCCGGGATCTCCACAGATGCCTACAAAACAGGGAGTAAGAAAGCTTAGTGCAAGGGCTGGTAGAATGGTTCAAGTGGTAGAGTACCTGCCTAGCAAGTGTGAGGCCCTGAGTTCAAACCCCAGTGCTGCCAAAAAAAAGACTTAGTGCAGAAACTAGTTTCCTGTTTTCCTATGTGTGAGGAAGTTCTCCAGAACTGAACGTAGGTCCTGCCCTGCACAACTGTCCCCCACCACACACGTGCTCACAGTCCCTTCTTACTGAGCTTTGACATTTGTGACATAGATTCTTGTAACGGGCTGGTGAGTGTGCCTCTTGTTTGTTTAAAGCATCTGCATCAGGAGACAGCAACAGAGCAGTGGGGCCAGGATGGCTGTACACCTACATCCAGTATGCTTGCAGCGGCAACTTCATCCAGGTGGTGGAAGACTGAGTTCAGCACCTCCCTCAGCCGTTTAGTGGCTGACTTCTTATGAGGCTGCAGGAGGACAGCCTGGAAGTTCACTGGCAGTCCATACCTGTTCACACAAAATGTGTCAGCTGCTGAGTTAAACAGGTAAAATGAGCCTGAGAAACAGGAAGTTCTAAGAATGAACAGCTTCAACCAACATAGCTCACATGGAAGTGAGTCACAGGCCAGCGACTGCTGTTGCGCTCCAGTCTATGTCCATAAATCCCAAACCTTCCCAGCTCACAAAGCATCCCTGGGATACAGAGCTCTCCTGCCTGTTAGAGCTGCTGAGAGGCAGAGGAAGTAGGGATGTGTAAAGTGACCACAGGTACCACTGCTTTTGCTGATCTCGTCCCTCCTAGAGGCCAGTGCCACCTTGACCAGCAGAATGTCGGTGGCACACAGGTAGGCCCAGGTGAGTGGAATGGCCTGGTTCATTCCCCGAATTTCTTTTGTCTCTTGTCTCTAGTCATCAAAGCTATTGTCACCCAGCGGAAGATGAGCAGAAAGGCTCACTAAGTAAAAAGCATGTTACCCTGAATGTCCGTTACCCTGGTCTTGCCTTCCCTTGGCTCCATTCTAACCCAGTCCCAGTGCTGTCAGCCAGCACGCCACACCTGGACATCAGTTCTGAGTGTGATGGGATTCTCAGGAATGCCGTGCAACCCTTGCAGTGGCCGGCTCACTGCTCTCACCCCTAGGCACTCTGTCTGCTAGAGGACAAGCATGCCAAAGCAACTCCCACATCCCAGTTCTGCTACCTGCACACTAAGCAAGCCTTCCCTTGTCACCGTACTTTGTCATCCTTCAGCCTGGACATCCATAGCTGCTGGACACCTGGAGGTGTCCTGACCATCTCCCTGCACACAGTGCTCCTCCCTCCCTTGCCTGAGTCCCTGCAGAGAGGCTGCTCAGTCTAGTCACTGTCATGGCCCCAGTGCTGGTGAACTCCATGAACATGAACTGAATGTTGACCAGACATATTTGCTCTGCCCATGTTCATTATTCTGAGCCCTTGGCCCTTTTCCCAGCAGTCCCTGTTGGCTTCAGGACCCTCCCCCTGCCATCTTCTCCTATGACCTGTCGAGCCCCTGCCTTCCCTCTTTTGGTGGTACCTGACCTGCTAGTGCTCCCACTGGGTCAATTCAGACCAACACCTTCATTCTGCCCAGGACAACTTCCAGCCTTGGCTGGCCACTTCTCATTCATTCTCAAGGTGGCACCCCAGAATGCTCCCCAGGACTGCTCAGAGAAGCCAGCCTCCTCCTCAATGACCAAAGAGGTCACCTAACTCAGGTTTTCTCCACTAGGGTCCCAGCCTCTTTAATACGTCACCACTGTACCCGCTTAATGAGAATAAGTTCATACTGGCTTCCTTGAGAGGAAAATCTGAGTATCAAGTGTCTTGTGTCATTCGTACCTCAACTGTACTCTTCAGCTTATGCCACCAGTGACCTCCTAAGAACTAAATCCAGCCCTAGCCTTTCACCCCACTGATTACTCCCTCCTCCTGTCTTGACTTCAGGCTTCTCTGCCTTCATTCAACCCTTTCGTGTCACGGGTCCCCCTTGGCACTCATCTTGCATATAGCTCTCCCTCAGCGTTATTATCCCTCTCCCACCACTAGTGATTCCCAGCAAGACCTCTCCTGACATCCAGACCCAGCCATCCAGCTTTCTGGTCAGCTGCGGCAGCCTCATGCCAGCCCACCGCTCACCCAGCACCTGCACCATGGCATCCTGATCACATAAGCACACAGTGCACTTCAGCCATGAGATGAGCCGGCACCTCCACTAAGGGCTGTGTCCATGTCACACTGATTCTATTCAGTCAACAAACATTTTGCATCTACTCTTCGACTCTGGGCTGGTGACAGAGATGGAGCAAAGAGCCAGACAGCTCCCAGTGCAGTGGGGGAAGACATGAATAGCTGAGTGCTCAGAGGGGCTAGTGAGGATCAGGGAGGCAGCTGACGCGACCTTCTCCCCTCTGCGTGCCTTTGCTCCAACGAACTTATCAGTCCAACATGTATTTCCTTAGATTACGACAGCTACATATGACAGGGTATGAAAAAAAAAATCCACAAGGATCAAGCAGCTCTTCCCCATATTGACCTGACAGCAATACAAAGCAAATGAAAAAGCAAGTTGTGAAATGTGACACGCAAGGAAAGAGTAAGCATCTCGAAGCCACTGTCATGATGACCTAGGGTCAGTGAGAATGTGAACAACTTTTACTGTCCCACAGTGAATAGTTCTGAACTTGAAATGAAAAAAAAAAACAATTACTAGCCAGTCATAGCGGTGAACACTTGTAATCCCAGCACTTGGAAGGCTGAAGCAGGAGGTTATAGACTGTTGGGAAAAAATACTAGATATATGTATATGTGCACAATCTTTTTAGTTATTACCAATTATTCTCTCTTGTCGCCCAGGGCCTCATACAGGCTGCTGAGTTATACTTCCAGACCCAAACTTGAATTTTTTTTACAGTGTTCATGTATTGTAACTATTCAGGAAAAATAGAGTAAAAGGCGTCATGCATTGATAATTTTGAAAAGAATTACTTTAGCATATACTTTTAGGGGCGCTACTTAGTTTTGTTGAACCAAAGCAAGATAGTAAGGATGTCTGTCTCCACCTGTCTCTTAGCACACGGGCATCCCATATGGCATGGACAGGCTACACTGTTGATTCTGACAGCCACCAGTTTCCAACACCAGCAAGTTGCTCTGGGGCCTATCTATCCTGTATGTAGCTAGAACACTCTGGGTTAGGGGTACACTCCGACACAACGCCAAGAGGTGTGCCACTGCAGGTTTCTGAGACAAACGTGTGTGAAAGTGTGCATGTGTGAGCCTGGGTAAGGTGTATGTGCCAGGGAAGATGGAGGAACCAGGGCCAGATCTGCATTTGGGCAGAACCATTGCATCAACAGCCACACGGAGGAGGTACTGGAGGTGGAGAACAATGGAGAGACTAAAGGGAGGGTAACAGCCAGGAGGAAAACAGAAGCCCAGGAGACACAGCTTATGAGGGGGGGCAGAAACAGGGAAGCCAAAGGAAGGGGTGAGGGTGGGGGAGGGAAGATAAACCAGATATCCACATAACACCCCTGGTGGACAGAGCTAAGCCTGGTAAGGATCCTGAGGCACGCTGCAGTACAGGCAGACAGGGAGATCACACAGAGGGTCCCAGGGCCCAGAGGAGCCCAGCAGCCTGCAGGTCAGAGCAGCCAGCCTGTGTAAGGCTGCCAAGAATACACAAGGGCCAGGACATATTGAAAATAATGCAGAGAAGTAAGCCCCTAAGAACATTTCCTATTTGATTCTGTTCTGCAAAAACTTAGTAAACACGACCGCTTCTGTACATTGAACACCTGAGCTGGGGATGTAGCTCAATGGAGTACTTGCTTAGCCTGTGCAAGACCCTGCAAAAAAAAAAGAAAACAAGCAAAAGGGGCGCACACCGGATGTTAGCAGCATTTGCTGTTGGTGTTAAAAATTACAGGTGATTTTTGTTTTATTTTGTTTTGTTTTTGCATTGCTAGGGATGGAACTCAGGGCTTCACACATGCTAGGCAAATGCTTTACAACTGAGCTACATCCCAATCCTCCTACAAGTGATTTTTATTTAGTGGTATTGGGATTTGAACTCAGGGCCTTGCACTTGCTAGGCAGGAGCCCTACTGCTTGAGCTACACCTCCATCGCCCTAAAGGTAATTTTCATTTACTCTTTGGGCTCACCTACAGTTTCCAAATTTTCTACAGTTTCCAAATTTTCTACAGTAAACTTAATTTCTTTTGTTAAAAAAGAATAAAGTAAGGGCTAGGGACATGGCTCAAGTGGTGGAATGCCTGTCTAGGAAGTGTGAGGCCCTGAGTTCAAACCCTAGTACAGCCAGTACTCGGAAAAAAAAAAAGAAGAAATAATAACAATAACAAAAATAGTAAATTAAGTTTTGCTGTGATGGTTTAGTTTCAGCTTTCTTTCGGGTCTGGCCCTGGGGAGGGAGGCCTGAGACAGTCTGGGTACGTCTTCCAGGAGCTACTGGGGCCCTGCAGGCTGCACAGACCTCTGTGGGTGAGACGGACAGAGAGAGCACAAGTGACCTGGGGCCCGAGTCTGGAGGGACAGGGAGGGAGCAGCAGAAAGCAGGGTACACAGAGCCAACGGGTTCATTTGATTCAGGGAATCAGTAGGTTGCCAAGAGCCAGGAGGCAGCAAACCAGAGCCACAGAAAGCAGGAGGCAGGAGGGCGGGAAGGGAGAAGTGGGAGCTTGACAGTCCGGACCTGGTCCCTCTAGGCCCTGCCCACCCTCGGGACAGTCCCTGCCCAGCCATCCCTCCACGCACCTGAGCACAGATTCCACAAACACTCTCAGAGCCTTTATATGGATCCAGGCGATAAAGGCCTCGCTGAAGTTCACCTTGAGCCAGCGCAGCAGAGGGCCCTGCAGAGACAGGAGGACCCAGTGAGCCTCCTGGCCACACCCTGATTAGGGCCCAGAAAGGACTCTGTTGACAGAGCAAGCCCTGAGATGAAAGAAATGCCCAGGGGCCAGCAGAAGCAGAGTTGGTGGGTGGAGTCCTATCTGAAGTACAGGATCACAGCATCCAGACACTTGGCTCTTGGGGAGCTCAGCGAGCCAGCCACCAGCACATGCGAGGGCCACCGCAGACCAGGGGTGGGGCTAGGCAGCTCTTGACCTCAGGGCTGTCATCTGACACCACACAGCCAAGGAGCACACCTCCTTGGAAGGCACTGACCCAGGGGCCTGGTACCATCCACCTGCTGCAACTCCCAGGAGCTCCTCAGGCCCCATGTAGTATGCCACAGTGGCAGTCACTAAGACTGGGGTGGGGACTCAGTCCTGGAGCAGATCTGAGCTCCCACCTAAAACCTCCAACTGCCCACCAAGGGTCCAGCCAGGGCAGTTAAGGCAGACAGCTGAGCTGCCCAACCACCACTCCCACCAGGGCCCTGCCCATCACCAGCTCCAGCCACCTCCGGCCAGGGCACAGGGACCCTGGCCGACAAGCACCATTCCCTGCCGGGAGGGGTGGCTGCAGAGAGGCCCTGCAGAATAAAGAAAGGCATGATTCTGGGCTCCTCAAATTTAAAACCTCACAACAGAAAATGCAAGGATTGGTTTTCTCAGAAGACACCTGAGCTGGCAGAGATATGCGAGCCGGGGACCCCCAAGGGCTCCCGGGGGTTGCTTACCTCGCCCTCGCCCTCACTCTCTCTCTCTCTGTCGGTCTGCCCCGCAGTGGGCCTATCAGGGTTACCTAGCGGGGTTACCTTAACCTTGTGGTCGCGGTAGGTGGTTGATCCCTTTTTAAGAGCAACACAGGAAGTTTGCTAAAGGCACAGAAATGATTTATTAATCTTTCAGCAAGCATGCATCACAAACACACAGAAACGCAGGCTTTCATTGCCTGAAAAGCGTGGGACAGCAGGCTCTGGCCCACCGGTTAGACTGGGCCCACAGCCTGTGGTTCCAGATTCTAGGGACAGACCATTTGCTGCCAGAAGGGTCAGTCCCATGGTCCCAACTCCCCCGCCTGGCTCCATCAGGACCCCCATCATTGGCAGACAAGGACAGCACTGGGAGATGTTAATAGCCCCTACCTATGGGGTTCATGTTTGGGCTTGGTCAAGGTGTCTCCACCACACCCGGCCACAACCATCTCTTTGTATTCTGAGCCTGCCTCAGCCATATGCAGACCATTAACCCAGCATGCATTTAGGTCATTTCACCCTTTATCATCCTGCCCCTGCAAATGGGTGGAAAACATGGGGCAATTCCACTTTGAGTTCTCAATGTACCCCAGAGCCCTGGGACCTCACACGTGGCCTCCAGATGCAAGATGCTGGTTATGTCTGCTTCCAATCAAACCAAAGGGAAAGAGATCCTCAGGATGCCAGGGCAGGGCCATCCCTAGCTGAGCCCCACCAAAGTTCTGTTTGCTGGTATAGCTAGAATGAGTATCTCCCAGGAGCTCCGTTTCCTACCCCCAGGGAGACCCCAGTAAGCTCCCCAGGGTAGCATCAGGATACAGAAGTCTACACCATGTAAAGACAACACCAGCTGGTATTCTGAGCCCCATGTGGCAGATTGCAGGCTCATTTGTCACCCTGTTCCATGAGGGCTCTGGCAGGCTTGTGCCAGTGTGGAGGTGGGTGCCAAAGGTCCTATTTTACCACCTGTCCCCTGGGTGGAGCCCTTGGCTGGACCGTGAAAGCTGCCACGGTTTGGACCCATCCAGGCACTGTGTAGGAAGTCAGGATGGCATCAACCAGGGAACCAGGAAAAGACTCAACTAAAGAGAATGGTTGAACATTCACGGTGGTAAGGATGCTGGGGCTGAGATTAAGCAGGAACACCACTGGGCTTCTGCTCTTGGTGACAGTCATTCCTGCCTGGCTATGCTGGATCTGTGCCACCACTCTAAGGACCCACACACCCTCAAAGATACAAGCCCAGGACTCCAGCCCTGCTCTTCATCCTTAGGGGCCTCTGCTGCCAAGTTCCAGCAGACTTTGGGTCTGAGAAGCAAGTATACTGGCTCAGTGCACATGTGTGTCTACGTGTGTGTGTGTGTGTGTGTGTGTGTGTGTGTGTGTCTATGTGTGTGTCTGTGTTTATGGTCCAGGGGAAGAGGGTTAAAAATCCTTAGTATGAACTTTTATATCATCAGCTGTTTCCTCCCAAAAGGGAAATGCACCAGGCCAGTGGGGACTCTGAGAGCCTGATTTAGGGGGCACCACAGCTGTGCTCACTCCCAAAGGAGTAGCTGCTTTTCTGAGAAAAGCAATGGACTCAGAGAGATGAGGGCAGACACGCACGATCCTCAGGTCACCCATTCAATATGGGAAGAAGACGGGCAAACACTCGGCCACATGTGAATCACTCAGCCTGGCCCACTGGCCTGGCTCTTCTCCCCAGGCACGTACTTACAGCCTTATGCTTACACGGACTTTTTCTGAAGTACGTTCTACTCATTTTTCCCTCCCAACACTGCAGGCTGAGTTAGAAGGGGTTCCCAAGATCCCTTCCCACTGGGGATGCGGAGAAGGGGCCAGAAAGCATTTCACCAGGACAGATCCTGAGGAGTCACAGGGCTTAGCCCAGTGCTGCTGCTAGAGGACACCGATTCTGGAAAGCCCAGCCCCCATTTTTCAGAGCGGTCAAGAGACTTCCAAAACTACATTCTGCAAATTTTAAGAGTGAGCATCCAGTTTTTCTCCCTGGTGCACTAGGCTGTCCTTCTCCACGGACTTTCTAAGTGGCTGTGATCAGAAGTCTTGGAGGGATGTACCACTCTTTGCTAAGAACACAGGGGAAGTAAACAGATGCTGGGGAATGCCTTGGAAGCCACACAGCCAGGACAGCAGTATGACCTGTGACCGTGCACTCTCTACCACCTACTCTGGGCACAGACACTTCTGCCTGGAGCCCACCTGCCCTGCTCCACTCCCAGGGAGGCTTAGGCAGATCCTCTGGCCCAAAAGTGGAGGCTCAGTGTCTCATGTGCAGTAGAGCTGACAAGTCTTCTGGAGGGGCTGTGTTCGGGATCGCTGAGTGGTCCAGCCTGGCTGGGTACAGCACTCACAGTGCCTGTGCTGTCTCAGCTACTTAAGCCCATCACCCTCTCCCCAGGCCCTGCTCTGGAGGCTGCAGGAGAACAGGTGCTGCTGATGGTGTGAGCCCAGGGGACAGGAACACTGAAACTGACAGGTGGGCATTGCCTCCAGGACACCGATGGAGGCTGCTCAACTGCATAAAGTCATCACCTGCACCAGGTACTTACGTACTGCTGCTTCTTATCGGACAGCAATCTGGTCATCTCCTCCCTTTCCCTTTTAATTTCTTTCTCATCATAGTAAAATTCACGGACAGTGAACCTTAAAGCAAGCAAGCCAGGGCTGTTACTGAGAAGCTTCCAGGTGGGAGAGGGACTCCCAGGGGCCACACCTGGAGGAGCCCACAGGCCATATCCTTACTTGTTTTCTTTGGCTTTCGTTTTGAAGTCATCGATCACTTTTCGAAAGAGAGTTACGGTGAAGAGGCCGCCCTCATTGTCCTCAGCAATCAATCTGTTGGGGAGACGATGCATTCATTGGAGGGACGATTGCCAGGGTCACCCTGAGCCAGGCCTCAAGCTGGACCTGGCCTCAGAGGGGCCCATCTTCTCCCCCAGGAGGGACGGCTAAGCTGGGCTTCTCTGTCCCCTTGGCCTGGTGGACTATGCTTAGGGCCCTGGCAGTCACCATGAGCAGGAACCAAGGATGACCCTCATTGGTTCCTAGTTCCTACCCCTTCCACACAGCCCTCCAGGGATCTGCATGCTTAGGAGTGGCACAGGGTACAGCACCCAAGTTGTGTCAAGCCCATCAAGTGACTGAGAGCTATCCCTCCTGCCCCTTGGTCCCAGCTGTTCCTCGCTCTGACAGTTATAATGCCACAGGTGGACTTGCAGGTGGCAGAAACTATCCCACAAGGTCTCCATTTCACTCCCAATGTCATGCTTCAGCACAGGTCATTGAGGTCACCGTCCCCAACAATGCAGCACTAGTGGTTTAAGCATCTCTGAGTTCCATTAGCCAGAAGACCCTGAAACTAGGAGCTCTGGGGCCCAGGTATTTCTCAGGGCACTCTGGCTAGGTTACCTCTCCTGCTTTTCAGATCCCACACTCATAGCGGCCACCCCCTGCCTCCAGAATCAGGCCTGAGGCCTCTGGTCTGAGAGGCTGAGCCACTGCCCGTGGAGAACAGAGGGCAGAGCAGTGGTGGTGGCTGGGGCTGCTCTGCCTCCCCTGCGACCTCAGGCTGTGTCCTTCTGTTCTTTGCACCACTCTTGATGGCTATCTCCTGTGAGTTAGTGGCCCTGGGACAGCCACACTCCAAAGGGAGCAGGGAAGGGGATGCTGTTCCTGATGGATGGCAGTCAGACAGCCTTCCCAGAAGAGGGAAGAGGAGTTTTGAAACATAAAAGCAGTCTGTGCATGTGTGTGATCAAGAAGTAAGTCCAGGCCAAGGGACACAGAGGGCACAGGTGTGGGGCCGGTGACCTCATACTCTGGGTATATGTTTGGTGGTCAGGTGCCTCAGAGTACCCCCTCAGGCCCCTCTGAGGATCCAGGGTCAAGCTGGGGTCTCACTTACTTAGTCGACCGAGGGACCACCATGTCCGAGAGGGATTCGTAGGTCTTCTGCCATTGTGCATAGCTTGGCCTGGGAAGACACAGAATCACTAAGTGTTTTTGGCAGCAAGGGCTTCTGGTGTCCTGAGGCTCAGGAAGCTGTCAACAGTAGGACATGGAGTCCCCAGCATTCTCCAAGGCCCTGCAGTGGTCCTGAGGAAACCCTGGCCCAGCCCCATCCGGGGCCCAGCCTGCCTGCAAGGGCTCCAGGGCTCCCACAAAGGTCTCCGCATGGAGAACTCAGCTACAGATATCTGTGCAGCTTACTGATATTTCTCATCCTGGCTGGTGACCTGGGGCCAGCTGATTGACCCCTCTGGCCTCAGGAGCAGAGGAATAACAACGCTCAGGCCTGTGGCAGGGATGACATATGTCCACGACTCATGGGGCACACAGCAGATGCCCCACAAATGGCTGCTTCTATCACTATCACCATCTCCTGTGCCCACAAAGACACAGCTGCTGTGCAGGTCTGTCAACCTGGGGCCAATGGAAGCAGAAGGGACCCATCTTCCTGTCTACCAACACCTCCCTCCACCTTCCTGGCTACGTACTTGGGGACAATGACCAGCAGAGTGATGAGATATTCTGAATCCAGCACGAAGTCTTCTTTGCTCACAATATCGCTCAATGTCCGAGTGAAGAGGTTGCCCCTGGAAGGCCGTGGAACACAGTGTGACTGGCATGCTGACCCCACACTCCTGCAACACCTGGGACGGGGGCAGGACAGTCCCAGGGAGGTGGGGCCAGGGAGGAGGTGAGTCTCATACGTGACCATCCTCCCTGGCCCCATTTGGGCACCACAGCTGCTGCCTCCTCCCCTCAAGGACAGGGGAGTCTAGCAGGACCTCAGTCGCTATCACCAGTCACTCAAGGGGCTGCTGAATCCAACACCTCTGTGACCAGTGCTGCCACTGGCTGTTGGGAGGGGACCTCAGGTGACAGGCAGCTAAAGATACTCAAATGTCAACACGGCAGCCAGCTCTCGAAGCTGCATAGGCAGAGATAGGCCTGGATAGAGCTCCATGTCACCTTATAGGCCTCTCAGTCCAGCAGCCAAGGACACTCACCTGAAATGGCTTTATCCATGCCCAGTGGACCTGGCCTCGACGAAGGGCATGGCATTATTAGTTCATGGGTCAAGGTTGTCAGGGGATCAAATATAGCTGAAATAAGGTCATGCAGCTACCCAGACTGCACGGAGCACTAACCCAGAGGCCACCACAGCTCCAGGCTGTGGCATTAGCATGCCGCTCCCCTTGCAAACGCTTCTTAAGCATACAGTCAGGGCCAGAGCTCTAAGGCAAGGAGAAAACACCACTCTTTAGAGGCTCCCCCTTCTTTCCTGCCCCTGCCTACACCATCTCAGTGCAGCCCTGTCCCTGTGGCCATAGGCAAGTCCATGGGACTCTCCCTCCAGAGGCACCCGAGGCACAGCCTCGCTGCCACAGCAGTAAACATACTCTCGTGTTATCTCTGTTTTACCTCTGTACTCCAGCTCAAAGCCTTTCCATACACGTTTGCTGAATGAATAATTGTGACTCTGCAAGTGCAGGAGTTGTTTTTTTATTTTGCTTTACATCTTTAGGGCCTAGCACATGGTCTGAGGGCATAGTAGGTGCCTTTAAAAGTGCATACTGAAAGAAAGAAAGAAGTAACAGGGGCTGGGGGCACAGCTCAAGGGGTAGAGCACTTGCCTAGCAAGCACAAAGTCCTGAGCTCAAATCCCAATGCTGCCAAAAACAGTTACAGACTGTCATCACTCCTCTCTGTCCACTTTCCACCTTCACTCAGTGTCTGTGATCAGTAAAATCCAAGTGACAGCAAATCAGTGAAGAAGGAACTTCACCAGGTAAGCAAAGACATTGGACCCAATGTCTCTTCAGGTCCTAACCAATTCTTTTTTTTTTTTATTGTATTTTTGTTGTTGTTAGACTGGGGTTTGACTCAGGGTTTTGCATTTGCAAAGCAGGTGCTCTATTACTTGAGCCATTCCTCCAATTCCTTTTGCTCTGGTTATTTTGATGAAGGGGGTCTTGTGAACTATTTGCTGGCCTCAAACTACCATCCTCCCCACCTGAGCCTTTCAAATAGCTAGTTTACAGGCATGAGCCACTGGAGCCCAGACTGACCAGTTCTTAAGAAGCCATGATTTGGTGGTGGGGTGAGCAAACGGCCCAGCACACTCTGGCCCCAAGGCCCATAGACTAGGGCCACAATTCAGAATTCAAGGCCACCGGCACCTGTCTTACTTCCATCCTCCATCGCTCATGTCCAGTTAGTTCTGATAGAAAGTCAGACAACAGCAAGGATGGTCAAGTGCATTTCACTCTTTGATTTTTAATTTTCAACTAACAGACTACGGCGTGTATATCCCTTTTCTGGAGTTTGTGGAACCAGAAGCATTCTGGATTTTGCATTGTTTGGGATTTTGGAATCCTTGCACATATATGATGACGCATCTTGGGGATGAGACCAAAGTCTAAACAGGACTTTGTTTCACACAGACCTTACACACACAGCCTGAAACGCAGATACCATGTATCTCTGTTTTGGCTGTGAGCAGGCGTGGAATTTTCCACTTGTGGCACCATGATGACAAAATTACAGATTTTGGAGCATCTTGCATTTTGGATTTTCGTATTAGAGATGGCTGACCTATATTTCTTTTGCCACAAGAAGAGCTGACCCCTCACGAAACAGGAAGCATAATTAGAAGGTGACATTCTCTTGCTCACAGTAGTGAGCCAATCAGTATAGCAGCTGGTTCTGAGCTCTGGGCCACTTCCCTCTCTGAGTATCGTCAGACTCAGAACAGACCAGACCCAGAGTCTGGGGACACTGGGTGGCTACTCTATGCCAACTTGGCCCTGTCTAGCAACATCCTCCAGCCTCCTGGAAGAAGCTCACCTGCTTCTTATGTACCTCCAACACCAGGGTACTCACTCCCTTCCTAAGACCATCCCTGTCCTGATAGCACTGAGCTTACACTTTTCTCCCAGTGGGCCCTTCCACCCCCTAGGTGTGGGTCTCTCTGCTGAGCTCAAGCAATCTGCTGCCTTTCCACATGGCTCAGGCAGACAGAGCAGGCACCTGAGAACCTGCCACTACTCTGGGCTGGAGTCCACCGTCCTCTCTTCCCTCTCAAAGGGCCAGGTTTTGACACCCTGGCCACTGCTGCTTCTGCAAGGCACTGTGTGCAGCCTTCATAGGGAAGAGCCTGAAGCAGCCTCCCAGGTAACCTGGGGGAGGTGGGGAGATGGAAGGAAAGGGATGAGAAGCAGCACTGTGCTCTTCTCTGGGCACAATGCCCAGCGGGGCTCTGTCCCCTCCCTCATCTGCTCTGGTCCCAGCATGCAGCTGCCTGTCTGCCTCACTCTCCCTCCACACCTTACTCAGGGTCCCCCTGACAGGAGTGCACAGAGCTGTGTGGGCATGCAGTACGCACGTGGACTTCTTTTCCAGGTTCTCCAGGTTCATCTTCAGAGCACTGTAGGCAGCCGTACGGGACTTCAGGTCCATCTCTATCTGTGCCAATTGCTACATAGGAAAGAAAATGTTCTTGGTGCCCTTGGGTGTTGAAGGAGTTGGTTGAGCTTATCAAAATGGCCACCAAGTACTCATGGGGTACGTAAGAAAAACAGCCACCTGCTCACTTGCCATGGGGGGTCCGATATTCTGCTCTCCCCCAGTGTCCCAGCATCTGACCTTTACATCAGCCCATGTGTGGGGAGGCAGAAAGGGACAATACAGATGTGGAGGTCCGAGCCTCTGCGGCTTGCCCAGTGTCACACACCCAGCTCCATTAGGAGCACACACTGAACCTCCAGGCATCTCGGGTCTCTCCACACGCAGCCCTCTCGGGCTCTGCTGAAGGCAGACAGTAACCCTGATTCTTGCTCTCTCTGGGAAGTACCCACCACAGCTCAGTCTCACAAGTGCCCACCTCTCAGGATCGGCTGTGCCCACTGTGGCCCTGTTCCTGCCTATGATTGCTGGGAGGCAGGTCACCGCTGGGATGTTTCAGGGAATCCCCTTGTTCTAGAGTTCCAGGGGTTAGTGAGCACATTCTGGTCCCAGCCCTGTGTCCCTCCCATGTGCTGGCCCAGGGCAAGTGGTATAGTGTGAAGAAGTAAGGAGCCTGGGCTCCCTACCTGCCAGAGGGGAGGTGACAACCTTCCCGAGGGCCCAAGAAGGGTCAGCCAAAGAGAAAGAAAATGCAAACAGGCCCCACTCATGGGAGGCCTTCCAAAGAACAGTGGTTGTCCCCATGATTATGGCAAACAAGCATTTTGAGGTCCCTGAAAGCAGAAATTCAGTGCCGCCATGAGCCCCTTCCACCTGGTGAGAACTGTCCATAATTTAAAGACAGTCACCAGCTGCCACCCTCCCAGGGATCACAGCAGAATTGGCTCTACAAGAACACATCACATTAGGGAACACTGTGGGAGGGTTGACACCCCAGGCGCCAGCACGCACAGCAGGGCAGCCTGCGCCACGATCCACACTAGATGAGAGCCGTGGGCCATCAGCAGGCTGTGCACAGCTCTGGGTTTAAATGTATAGATTTTACAAGTACTTGAGAGGATCCCCGGTAAATATTAGACACTGGCCACCTTTAGAGAGAAAAAGGGAACAAGCGTCAGCTAACAGCAGTAGGAGCTGTTGGCATCCTTGTCTTTATGTTGTTTGGTTTCTTAAATGACTTTTTTTTTTTTTTAGAATTTTAAAAACATTTATTTTGAAGTAACTAGTGATTCACAAGAAGTTGCAAAAGCACTGCACAAGGTTCCCATGACCTCTTCATACACCTCGCACCACTCACGGTGACTTCTTTTTTTATTGTTTTATTTTGGTTTTTTGGCAACACTGGGGTTTGAACTCAAGGCCTCACACTTGCTAGGCAGGCGCTCTACCCCTTGAGTCACTCTGCCAGCAACACTGATGACTTCTAATGGTACTACACCACGCTTACCCCATGGCTACACCTTACTCTGTACAACCACACACACTGCACTCACCGTCCAGCTACACTGTACAATGACACCGTACTGCACCATGCAAATGTGACACACGCCTACAACATGACACTCCACTCCACTCTAAAGCTACACTGCACAGATACAATCCACAGATCTTGCTTTTTCTTCCTTTCTTTTTTGGTGGCACTGGGGTTTGAACTCAGGGTCTCACTCTTGCCAGGCAGGCACTCTTACTGCTTGAGCCACTCCATCAGCCCAGATCTTGCTTTTTCAATAAGACTTGTATCTTTTTTTACAAAAAGAAAGTGGTCCGATGGATGTGGCTCGGTGGTAGAGCACTTGCCTAGCATGAAAGAGGCTGTGGGTTTGACCCCCAGCACTATATACACAGAGACAGAAGTAAAATAAGAAAACAATAACAAAAAATTAGTGCACATCCTTATTTACTGATTTCACAAGTCAATGAAAAGCTGCTGAGAGGTAGTAAAACAGTGGGAGGAAGTAGGGTTTTGGACCAGTGAGGCCCTGATAACCACCAGTTCCAACTCATACTGGCTGTGTGGCCTGATCTAAGCTCTTTGACCTCTCTGAATGCTGCTCCACAGAATTATGGTGAGGTGGCCCAGGGAGTATATGTCTTGTTTACAGATTGCAACCTCTGTTGAAAGAACAGGCGAGCTGGGGCTGCCACAGGTGTCCCTGGAGCAGGATAGACTGAGGGGCCAGCACTGCCTCTGAGTTGGCCCCCTGTGGGAGAGACATCCCCACTTCCCCAGGAAGCCCTGCCCTGCTCACAGCACAGCTCATGATTTTGGCCCCTTCACACCTGCTTTCCAGAACCCTGGCCCCCCACTGAACCCCCAGCTACTTCCTCACTCAAAGTCAGAGGAGACTGACACTCACTTCCAGAGCCCGCCTGGCCCCCAGGGGACACTGTCCAAACCCTGTCCTCTGGGCTGGTGCAGTCACTCAAGTAGGAGAGCATCTGCCTAGCAAGCATGAGGCCCTGAGTTCAAACCTCAGTGCCACACACCCACACACACAAAACACCCTGCCCTCTGCCACCCTCCCTGCCATTCTGCTGAAGTCACTTTTTGGCACCTGGAACTGGAGAGAAGCCAGGTCTCTGCTACAACTCTGCTGTGCACACCCTGTGTGCTCCAGGGGGCCTCACCACTGGGTGCTTGGGCCTCAGAGAATCCTGAGGTGGCACTGGGAAGGGCAGGACAGGTCATGGTCAACCTCACAAACAGCAGTGTGCTCTGGCTCCATGATGGACTCGCACAGCACCCCGCTGGAAGCCACTTCTGGCACAGGTACCCCGGACAGCCCCTCCTTGGAGGGCCTTCCAGAATCTACCTGATTATCTCAGGACGGGCTGGCATCTTGTGTGTCCACAGGAGTAGCCAGCTTCCCAGCCTCACCTGCTCCCAGAGACTGGCAGGTAAGGGACCCTGTGGCCACTCTCCAACCCTGACCTACCCACCACACTCAGGGAGCCTCAGCTTCTCCAGCTTTGTTCCTGGACAGGCTGAGACTCTTCAACCACAGGGGCCAGCAGAAGACACGATACATTAGTGACTCCATGTGCAGTGGCAGGTAGAAAGGACAGGCCATCAGAAATGGCCAGCACTCACCCATGGTAGACACGCAGGAGTTATCTGCTCACCATCCACAATGTGTTTTGGTACCTGTATTTCATCGAGTTCTAGCTAGAGGCCACAGCTTAGCAGACAGCAGCCTGTCACAGGCACTGTTGTCATAGGTAGCCCAGAGGTGAATCGTGCAATGTCTCTGAGAGCTCCTAAGTGGTTTTTGCATGTAAATAATCATCTAGGGGGCTGGAGGTGTCAGATCCCTGATGCTACTGGGGGGCAATAAGCTTCCCCATCAGTAACTTTTGAGAAAAGGTGTGTGTTAGGGGAGCAAAGCGGATGGGCAGTGGGGTCTGGCTCAGAACACCGGTGACTCGGGACCATCCAGTGGACTCTGGGTAATGGGGATTTGGAGGACTGTCTCCCTTAGCTGTCATCTTGCTCAGGGCACAGGAGGCCACACCTCAGATGCCCAGAGACCCAATCAAGGCTGGCTGGCTGGGATCCTACCCAGGGTCACTGGGCAGGGCTAGAAGCCCAGCCTCTTGCCTCTCTGTCTCTCCAGAACCAAACAGCATGCAGGTCTGTCTCTGACAGTCAGACGTCCCAGAAAGCTCATCTCACCTTTGCAAGTGTGTCCACCACGCTCACCAGCGGCTGCTTTGCAGGGTATTTCGCCATGTCCCATTCAAAGTGAGTCACAAAGGATGTCAAGTCGACTGGAAGAACACAAACCCAGTTCAACAGGTGGACACAGTTCTCCTCATCTCCCAAGAGCAAGCCCAGAGCTGCAAACACTCCCCTCAGAACACTTCAGAGTTCTGAGCCAGTGAGTAGGGCAGAGCCCTAAACCCCTCTAAGACTCCCCACAGCCAGCAGCCCAGAGAAGGGCACTGCAACCGCTGTACTTCTGTGGCTGCTGCACCAGCACCACTCCAGAGGTGGAAGCCAAGTCACGACATTCCAAGGGGCTCTAGTAGCTTCTCTGCGTTCTCCAGCTGCTTGAGCTTCTCTCTGCCACCCCCCACCTCAGGGTAGCATTACTTTTTTGAGGTACGCCAACAGCACACCAGAGAGCATCAAACCATGAAGCCCTGAAAAGCCACACAGCCCATGGCCTGTCACGGGTGACACCTGCTTTTGGGACAAGCATCTCCCTGCCTCCTGAATCCCAGGAGGAGACAAGGTCATTTCAACCTCCACTGTCCCTTTCATCTAGTTGCTGGAGTTGGCCTGTGATGGGGGCTTTTCTACCTGGAACAAAGGCGCATCTTCCAGTGTGTGCCCTTTAAAGTCCAGTGTTTTCATAAAACCTGGTTTTCCTTTTCTTCTTCCCGAAGCAAGCCCAACCTGCTACCTGCAAGGTGGTTCTGAGCCACTGTAACCAGCTGTAGGATTGGGGTGAGCCCTGGAATTGAGGCCAAATGCCACACTGATTTAGCCTGGCAGGCACAGAGCCCTGGGTCTCAGGCAAGGCCGGAACTAAGTCAGTTTTCCTGCCTTAGAACTGGGGGCAGTTCCAGTGCCTACTCTCTTCAGAGACGTTCTATGTTCAGGTAGAGAACATTGAGGCCTAACCTAGCACGTTACTTCTTTCTTTTTCTTATATTTTGTTTTTGAGACTGGGTCTCTCTATATTGCCCAGACTGACCTCAAATTCCTGGCCTAAAGTGATCCTTCTGCCTCAACCTCCCGAGTAGCTGGAACCACAGGTACCTACCACTGTACCTGGCTGGCTCATTACCTCTCTTTAACATCTGCCCTGTGGCAAAATAGGAAACCTGGTATGAGTTGCAGAATTACAGAGGCCCCTGGAAATCCCCCTAAACTATCGAGCCAGCCCTTCCTATCTGGGATTTCTCGCCACAGGTTGTGTACATGCCTGTGCTTCCCAGAACATAGATGTGCACATGGAAAGGGACTGTCATTGCTCTCTTGATATGCAGACACCCTTCCCGTCCACCCTCACGTGCTCATGGCGTGCAGGGACTGCACCACCAAGCAGTGAGTTGTTGCCAGAGTGTAGGCAGCAGGAGGATGGGAGGGGGCTCCAACCAGGACCACACAGACTCACACAGAAGCTGAAGGGCAGAGGCATGGTGGATGGCTGTGAGGGAGGGTGTTGGTGTCAGGAGGACTGGTGACCTCATGAGGGGGCAGGAGGAGTCTCTGTGTAAGGCTGATGGAGCAGAGAGGTGGATGGGGACGGGACAGGAGCACAGTCAGGACTGGACAGAAGATCATGTCTGCATCTGCCCATGGCGACACTGGGTCCCATGCACACAGCCCCTGTTGTGTGCCAAGAGTTGGTCACGGAGCTCTTTCCCTCAGACAGCAGTGTCAAACAGGGTCACCACACAAGCCTCCAGGAGGCTGCATCACCAGCCAGCCATGGAGGAGCAGGCTGGGGACAAAAGCACACTGGGAGACTCCTCTGTGTTGGGAACAGACAGAAGCCAGATGTACTCCACCAAGGGTGTGGGAGAAGGAGGCAAAGCCTAGAGTGGCCAGAGAAGCCCGGGGCAAAACAAAGAGCAGACCCTTTCAACAGCATGCAAGGCTAATGACACACAGGGCGCCATGAAGGCCAGGTGACACCCAGGTTCCTAGGTTGGATGACTAGGTGGAAGGAGAGACGTGCACTAAGCCAGGCGGCCACAGAGGCAGGGGTAGGAATGGAGTAGAGTAGAGAGGGGATGAGTTCAGCTTGGGGCAGGCTCGGGTTTGGTATGTGGGTACACAAGACCCCAAGAAGCAGATGGAAACCAAAGGGGACTCAGGAGAGAACTAGCCTGGTAATAGCACTGTTGGCACTTGAGAGAGAGGAAATACCTCAACAGAGATGAGTGACAATGCCAACCATTGAAGTAGGTGACATGTCCTGATGACTTCCCTGGGGCCAGGACATATGACTCATCTCACTTAATGGATTCTTTAATCCTATTAAGTATATTACTATCTCCATGAGGAAACTCCAGCACAAAGCAAGTTACGTAAGCTCCATCAGGACGGGAGAAAACGCACATGGAGGACACCACACCCTGCCTGACACACAGAAGGGAGCTTGGTTCCTTTTCCTGCTGTGTCCACTATCAGGGCACAGCTACACTACAGGTGACAGAGGGAGCTGAGCTGTCCCCTTCACAAGAACTCAGATACTTTCTAGATCATCTGAACTTGGAAGACGTCCTAGGGAAAATTCATATTGTACATTTACACCTTAGCCTGTTGACAAGAGAACCTCTAGGGTGCTAGGGGTGGGGCCCTCATCTGATAGGATCTGAGTTCTCAAAAGGCAGTGGCTCACACCTGCAATCCTAGCTACTCAGGAGGCAGAGATCAGGAGGATCGCAGTTCAAAGCCAGCCTGGGCAAAAAGTTTACACACGAGACCTTATCTCGAAAAACCCATCACAAAAAAGGGCTGGTGGAGTGACTCAAGGTGAAGGCCCTGAATTCAAGCCCTAGTACCACAAAAAAAAAAAAAAAAACCAGGGACATCAGAGTTCCATCCATGCTCGCTCTCCCCCAAAGAAAGGTCATGTGAGTACACAATGCAAAGGTAGCCATCTACAAGCCAGGCAAGCAGCCCTCACCAGAATGGAATTGGCTGGACACATGATCTTAAACTTCCAGCCTCCAGAACTCTGAGGAAATAAATGTCTGCTGTTGAAGCTGCCCAGTGTATAGAATTTTGCAATGGCAGTCCAAGTGGAGTGATAGATTTTGGAGCTAGTACAGATTCCGGCACTGCACACCAGGGCAGGGAGTGTGGACAGAGGCCAAGCAGGACAGTCCTGAAGGGCCCCTCCCACAGCAGCAGTGGCGACTGATCCCGTGGTGGAGAACGAGCTGCACGATGGGTGGCCCAGCAGCGGTCCAAGACAGATGTCAGGCAGATGTGTACTTTGCCCACTTCTCATCACCTCCAGCATCTCGGAACCCTCCACCCAGCCACAGTCCTGCTCAGCTCCTCTCCCTCTCCCACTGCTGCTTTCATCCTTCAGTACTCAGGTCACAGTGGACCAACTCCTTCCAGAAACTGCCCTGAATGACCCCCTGCTGATCTGAGCTCAAGGACACTAATGGCATTGGGTGTTGCATGGCTACCCTGTGCCTCCAGTTCTCCAGCTCCTTAGGGGCAGAGTCTGTGACTGACTTGTCTCTGTCTCCAGAGCCTGTCAACATACCCCCCACAGAGCAAGTACACCACGGAATGCTCACAGTACTGTCAGCAAAGCTCCTCCCAGCCATGGTGGCCACGTTAACTCTCACTCTGCCTAGAAGAGTCACATTTCAGGTCAGGCCCTTGTCTCTATGCCATGTCACCAAGGTCATCACGGTTTTTACTCCAGGGAGGGTAAGCTCCATCTCAGCACATAGGGCACTGTGAAGCTGTGAACTCTCAGAGACAGAGGCTGTGCTTCTAGGCTGGGTCAATTTTCTCTGAGCACCCAGCATGCACTTGGTTCTGACAGATCTGCAAGAGCATCCAAGAGGCTGTTAGACAAGGACCTTGAGAGACTCCCAGGTTTACAACTGTGACCTCCTCTTCCTTCCTGTACCGTGTCCCTAACACCAGGGGAGCTGGGATACTGACCCTTGCCCCAGGTCACATATCCAACGTCCCTGCCTGTCCACACACACTGCTTTGGGCGAGAACATTCTAGGCCTTCCTGTACTTCCACAAAGCTTTGTCGCCTCTGCTTGGAAAAGGAGGCCTGGCATCCTCTCCCTAGATTTCAGTCATCAAAGCCAGTCCTCGGAGGGAGCAAGGCAGGGTCTGACCTGTGAGGTCAGACCATGGCCTGGGCAGGATTGCTCTGCATCATCACACACTGTACACAAGCCGCCACATCTCAAGCAACAATGGCCTATCTAGACATCAGCACAAGGCCTTGCCAGCACACTGGACTGTGACCGCACAGGCTGTGACCGCACAGGCTGTGACCCATAGCGCCCAAGGCAGACAACAGATGTTTGCTCTGCCTTTGCTGCACTCACACTTGTCTCTGTCTTTGTCAGCTGGAGGCAGACAAACAAAAACAAAAGGTGCACAGGCAAATCAAAGAACCTATAATGTGAGTGTTATTAAGTCCACTTGCAAGCGAGAAAACTGAAGCCCAGAGGTGACCTGTCCAGGTGAAGATTCACATTATTCAGCAGGAGGAGGTCTGACTGGATGCTGGATCCCAGTGGTGATGGTGCTCTAATTCCCTGAGGAGAGAGGAGTAAAATCCCACCTGAGGGCAGCAATTAGCTCTTCTAGTTAATTCTATCGCTAATTTGTGGGTGCCCTGCAGAAAAAGAGGTCCTCATTTAGACAATTTGGGAAAACCCATGTCAGATGAAGGACTTTGCAGAGTCATTAATGCTAATATTTATCAACCACTAGGCTCAGAAGCTGCTGTAGGGCCTGCCCTTCCATCCCGGCCTTTTGGCAGGGATGCTTTTCAGAGCATGCTTCAGAAACTCTAATCTTGGAAGTTGATGGGCTCCAACTCATAGAGGCCTTGCAGGAGTCCTAAATGAGCAAGCAAAGCTGGGTTTCCTGCTGAGAAGAAAGCCCCTGTCTCTTAGAGTTGGTGCCATCTGGACTGGGCTGAATGCTAGTAGTAAGATGAACCAAGTCATCTCGTTTGGTTTTCATTTTGTTGCAGTGCTGGGAACAGAACCCAGGACCTTGTGTTCTGCCAGTGAGCCCCATCCCCAGTCCTAGAACGTAAGTATTTCGACCACGATTTTAATGTCACCTTAAATCCTCACAGTCTGAAGAGCAGTTTTTTATGTAGAAGAGTGGCTCTACCTTAAGCAGCTTTTTAGCAGACATCCCAATGAATCACCTGCTGAATCTTTGGTTGTCAACATGACAAACTATTCTTTTCTTACCATCAACAAGAAATAGTGGAGCAAACAGATTGCATTTTGGAAGGCAATTAGTAACTTTCAATCTGTAAAGATTTTTATTTGCTCTGTCGCAGGTTTTGGGAGAAAGCCCAAAGCAAATGGCTCTTTTTAACAATCACACCAGAGTGTCTTGTTTGGGCACTGCCCCAGGAGTCTCCTGGTACCTGTGAACCTCATAAGAGGCCACACGAAGCAAACCTGGCATCTAACCTGCCCGTGTTGGTCAAGCGGATAGCCTCATAAAGCAGGAAGCGGGATGCCAGGGACAGGCATCAAAGCCAAGAGCAGAACACAAACAAGAAGATGAAGTTCACCTTGAACCTCACAGAGTCAACACATTCCCAGCTGTCCAGGTGGCAGGCAAAGCTGCTCCGGAGAGACAGTGACAGGAGAAAGAGGAGGACAGGAAGGCAACAGTTGTTCTCTGTGTCATAGGGATATCGTGACCAAGCTACAAGGTCGTTATGGGAGCAATTGTAGTGACCCGATCACTATGTCCCTATAACCAGACCGAGATTCCACCTCCCCAGGGACATGCGGACATCACGCTGAGCACAGGCACGGCAAACAACGCACAACCTACTCTTTAAACATTTCATTTTTTCCTTCAAACCTGAAATATAATAAGGTGAAATTATTAAACCACAAAGACATACAAAGCCAAGCTCAGATCTGAGAGAAGGAACATTTCCCTTTGTCAATTTAAAACAGTAAATAAAAACAGTCTTTTAATGTTTCCAGGAGGGTCTGCTTGTAACAAAAGATATAAACGTTAAGTATGTACGTCCTCATTTTCAACAAATACGCATAGTCACACGCGTTTAGTTATCACCGTGGATAACATTTAATTCTAGCATTTCTAAAGTCTCCAGGGTTTGTCTTGCACATTTTAAATGCACTCAACTAGCATGTACACCATTCATGGGCAAAACATTGGTGGAGTCTAAAGATTTAGTCCATCAGCACAGGGGAATGGAATATTCTACTGCAGGAAGAGGTTTGGGTCTTTGTTAGGCAGCAACTAAAGCCTCGGAGGCATTGCTCTTCACATGGAGCCATATTGCACACCTTGTTTGGGGAAAGGGATGAGTGAGCTGGAATGGGTGGGTGGGATTTTCCAAGTGTGGGATGGTGGAGGTCAACGAGAAGGAATCCTGATCACTTTAAATTTCACTGAGTTCAGGATAAGAAACACCATACATCCTAGAAAGGAGGAAGGCAAGCTATGAGTAGAGGAAGGGGCCTGTCTGCCAAACTCTGCTGTACGGTTGTGCTGATGGTGGGGTGCAGGGCCCTCAGAAAGTATTCTGAGCTTCTACTGAGGCCCAGGACATTCCTGTAACTACTGTGGCCACAGCCAGACTTCCACGCCTGAGAAATAAGACGCACTCAGGGACCTACCTCCGTTAGCCAGGAGGTTCTCATGGACTTTCCCCTTGGAGTCCTCCATGACGTCCACCACGCTCTGTGCCATTCTCCTTATGAGGCTTTGGGGAGAGAAGAAAGCAGCAATGAGGGTGGGAAGCTGCCTGCAGGCCACTCGTGTACGCTGCTGGCAAGAAATGCAGCCGTGGGCCTTTGGGGCAGTAACTTGTCAATCTGTAAGAAGAGACTGACAATGTTACGAACCTTTGAACCAGTAATTCCACTTCTGGGAAACCATCTTAAGGAAACAGGAAACACAGAAAAAGCCTTCTGAATAGAAAGATATTCTTTACAGCATTACCGCTGACAATAAAAAACTGGAAACCACCAGCAGCTTCAACAACAGGGACTTGTTTACATGAGTGATGGTCTACCCAGCTGAAGGATTGTTAGGCAGCCACTGAAAAAAAGATTTACAAGGAATTTCAAATGCCATGGAACAAGGCATGTATTACCATGTCAGGTGGAAAAACCAGGACAGAAACCTACCCAGACAATAGGGTCGCGGGCTGTAGTACCTGCAATGGTCTTCCTACTTGACATTTTTTTCTATTATAATCTGGTATTGCTTTTAAAATTAGAAAATTGGTTATGGTCTCCATAACAAATACTGAAGGCTTCAGAAAGGAAAGAAAGTGCAGGATTTGGAAGCAGAAGGGTTCAAATTCACCACGGCTCTGCCAACTACCAAGAGTATGATATTAGCTAAATTGATTTAATTTCTTTGAGTCTCAGTTCTCTCATTTACTAAATGTGTGTTATATACCATCCACAGGACTGTTATTAACACTGATATAACTAACTAGGAACTGGTCACCTCATAGCAGGAGGCCGATCAAATAGAAATCCACGAGAATCCAGTCTAAAGTTTCTGATGGTGCAGAGCTTTGCCTCTCTCCATGGGGCATGGGGGGTAGTAGTGCTGATGGTATTTGAAGTGAGAGTGGACCCAGGTCACCGAATCCCAGATGGAACACAAGGTCCTCCACTGTGTGCAGAGCCTTGGGTGGGCCTGACACAGAAACTGAGGCAGGAACAAGAAGGGATGAAGGCGGAATGATAGTAACTTGTATTCCTGACTCTCGACACCCATGGTCGGAGACTGCAATGCAGCTTAGTGATAGAACACTTTCCTGGAATATGCGAGGCCTGGGTTCCAGCTCTAGCACCACCAGGAAAACAAAAATCCACTATACCTCACCAGAGAGGAAATTTCCTAAGATCCGGACCCATTTCTAAAGGCTTGACATCTGCATGGGGTATGTGAGTTAAGGCCTCTTTTTGATAGCACCTATCACCTGGTGATAGGGTCTACCAAGTATCAAACCCTCTGTAGCCATGACCTCATTTAATTCTTACAAAAATCCCGAAGGGGAGGTATTACCCCAATTTATCAGGTCCCAAGAAGTAATTTGCCCCCAACCTTCCAGTCTGTTTGTGGGCTTCAAAGGCAAGACTTTTGGCCACCTAGTCACACTGCCACCTGGACAGTCACTGTGGCCCGCCCTGTTGAAATTTCTACCAATGACCAATGGGCTAGCATCTCTTAGAACGGTAGTTAACAGTGCCTCACTGATGATAGCCTTGGCCAAGTCACACAACTTATCTCAGTCTCCTGAGCCACAGATGGGGGATAACATAACTTATCTTGCAGGGTTCTTTGCGGACTTTAACACAATGCTTTGCAAAGCATGGAGTCTCCAGGCGCTGGAGAGGGACCTAGAGAGGTGCTCCAGGGGACGTGGGAAGACTGCTTTGGGCTCTCTACTCTCTGCGTTCCACAGAGATTCTGCAGATCAAAAAGAGTCAGAGTCCAATTTCCTCCAGCTGGAGTAGCCTCAGTCCTCACCTGCTCCAGCCTTGAGCTGTGAGATTGTGGATCTCAGCCTGGTCCTTGCACTATTCCCTTGGCTGTCCTACAGCCCCACACAGCTCTGGGTCTCTCTGTACATAGACCTTCTCAGATTGTCTTAGTATGAGCTGTTGGAACCCTGACTCAATAAATCCATTCATCCATCCATTCATTGAGCAAATTTCATATGTTAAGCAACTTCTGTGTGCCAAGCGCTGCTCTACATACTGTGAACAAAACAAAGTCCCTGCTGTCATGCAACTTCTGTTTCAGTGCTGTCAACGGTTTCCTCTTTTATCACTCGAGTGCCACATGCAAGGCTGTCTCCTATTACATGCCCAGGGTGACGGTCTGTTTGCATGATGTTGGTAGTAACTCCACCCCGACCACAGTGCCTGAACACAGTAGCTGCTCAGTAATGCGTGTCAAGTGAATAAGTGAGCCCCACACTTCACGGCACCTAACATCACACATATGCTCACTTCTTCCCTCACAAAGCTAAAAACAGAGGTCACCCATCATTTTATTAATGAGTCTTTGCTGTCCCCTGTCCGATCCTCTTATGAAATTTTTCCCTATAGCAAATGTAGCCCTTAGGCACGTACATTACAGCTGGGACATCTCAGAATAACACGCTCTGATGAAGCTTAGTTGCTAGAAAAACAGCTTAGCTATGATCCTTAACTACGGCCACCAGTGAATTATGGTATTACCAAACCAGGACATTTTTTTCTCATTAAAAGAAACCTAAGGGTCATGATGCTGTTTTAATCTTCTGTCCCCCTTAAATTCCACTGTGCACACCTGACTATAAGTTAGAGCATCCTCGTTCCTTTCACAGGCTGCACAGTATTTCATTGCATGACTGCCAGAACTAAGTCCTCACTACTAGATCTTTGGGTTGTTTTCCTCTTTGATAGGATGTTGCAATAGTACATGTGTTTTTCCCACTTGTACAGATGTATATGTAGAAAAAAAGCTATAAAAGAGCAACTACTGGAATAAAAGGTATGAACTTTTATAATTTTAACAAGGGAGGCCAAACTACCTTCCAAACATACAGAGCCAGTCCCACCAGCAAGGTATGAACAACACCTGCTTCCCTAAACCCTGGCCAACACAAGCCTCAGGAATCTTTTTTATCCCTGCCAATCTGATAGCTGGAAACCTGCATCTCATGATTGCTCTGATTTGCATTTCTGTATCATCAGTGAGGTTGGATGGACCTTTTCTCCCATGTTGATTGACTCTATGAAAGGCTGTCTTCTTCTTCTGTGAATAACACTTGCATAGCCTCTGTCAGATTGGAGGTGGGGCTGGCTCCTTGCTTTCTAAATTTTATTTTGTTGGTTTCTATGAGCTCTGAGGGGTGTTGGAGACTCGATCCTTGAGACAATGTTTTGAGCTAGGTGACATCACCATTAAATTAAGACTTAGAGAGCTGAAGGTCACCGTGTCACTGAACAAATGTCAAGCAGAAACTGATTGTGAATCTGCACACCCCGATGGCACCTTTTTCCAAAACACCTGACAAAAATGAGTTGCAGAGAAGAGGTTCAGATCATATTATCAGTGAGAAACAACTGCAGACGATACAAAAAGATTGAGTTAACATAGATGTGCGCATGTGTCTAAACCCATAAACCTGCACCCCTTAACGCGTGAATATTTCACTGTGTATAACTTGACCTTGTTGAAAACAAGTTTGTAAGCAGACACTACCTTAGTCAGATGACCAAAGTCAACATCACCCACTCTAGGAAAGGTCAGCCATGTGCTCTGGATAGGATGCACTGAGCCCAACACAGCAGCTCTGCTATAGGGCTCTTACCAAAAAAAAATCCGATGTCAACCTGGGTATGGCAGTGCAGGCCTGCCACCCCAGCAGCTGGGAGGCTGAGGCAGGAAGATCCTGCATTCATGACCAGCCTGGGCTACATGGCAAGAAATAAATATTTTAAACATCAACCATGACGATTATTCTAAGGATGAGACCTGTTCATGTAGTTCAAGGTAGATGCTAGAATCTCCCCCAGTTCAACACTGGCAGCATTAAAGATAAGAAACCTGATAAAACGCTCGGTCTCCAGGTTCAGAGGAGAGTGACGCGTGGCCCACTAACAGTAGGGGAAGGCTCAGCCTCGCTTGCTCCAAATCCCACTTTTCACTGGGGAGATGAGCATGGTGAAAAGAGTCTTAATTTACAGCCTTGGCAAGTCCGGGAGAAACGGGGTCGCCATGCACTGTTGACCCTGGTGTTGACTGGTTCGTACTCAGCAGAGTATTTTCAGATCTACCAAACATTTTAATGAACGAATGTCATTGTCGTTCTGCCACACTGGCTCAAGGGCTCAAAGCCTGGGACAGAATGGCTTGTAAAAGCCATCTTGTCATCACCAACAGGGAAGCCACATAGCTAAGGAGAACAAGGTGCCAGGCGTCGGTGGCTCATACCTGCGATCCTAGCTACCTGGGAGGTTGAGATTAGAGGATTGAGGCTCGAGCCCAGCCCGAGCAAATAATTTGAAAGACCCCATCTTCAATAACCAGAGCAAAATGGAGGAGTGGCTCAAAGGATATAGCACCTGTGTTGGATGTGCACAGCCCTGAGTTCAAACCCAGTACCACTGAGAGACAAACAGAGAGAGAGAGAGAGAGAGAGAGAGAGAGAGAATGAGAAAGGTTGTCACAAAGCTTGTGGACCATAGAACAGAGGGGAAGAACAAGTCATAAATGGGGTCTTTTTTTGTAAAAAATCAAGTCAAAATGCCTGTTGTATATTCAGCAAAAGTTTGGAACAATTGACACTACATTGTCAAATTGGTGTCCTTTGGGGAGTGATATTGCAAAGGAGGGTCAAATTTAGGGTCGGTTAAAAACAAAAAGCCAAGGGGACGGGGGGAAGGGGGCAGAAATGACCCAATCATTGTATGCACATATGAATAAAGGAAATAAAAAAAATAAATAAAAAGCTAAGCCGGGAGTGATGACTCAAACCTGTAATTCTAGCTCCTTGGAAGGCTGACACCTAGAGGATTGCAGTTCGAGGCCAGTACAAGCAAAAAAAAGTTTAAGAGATCCCATCTTGCCAGAAGAAGCTGGGCATGGTGGCATGCACCTGTCATTTGAGCTTCAGCAGGAAGTGCAAAATAAGAGGGTCACAGTCCAGGGCTGACCTGGGTAAAAAAGAGACCCTACCTCCAAAATA